TCACTACTGGCGGGTCCACCCCCAGCTTTGTTATTTTTAGTGGGGCCACCCCCAGTATTCTTGGGCGGTGCGTCAGCCATGACAATTTCAACCACCTCCGGATTGCTGTCGACCGCAGCGTTCAGGGTGCGACGATTGGACTCAACTGGCTGATTCGACAAAGCTCGGATCCGTTGATCGTGCATTTGTCTCATTTCTTGCATAGCCATTTCCATTTATCTCATAGGCATATCAGCCCAAATTATTGACCCACCTCTTAGATACAAGCATAGCAGTAGTGTGTAAATAAGAACGTCATATGATAGAGAGAAAAAAGTAATTACGGACCTGAAGAGGAGTACCAGTAAGACACCAACGGCAGTATGCAGTTAGAGCAAAGGCTGATTGGGCTACTTGAGCTTTTGAAGATTTGATGGTGTGTGCTTCATCTAGTACCACTCTGTACCAATTAATTCTGTGAGCGAGAGCGGAATAGGAATCCGAGAGTTCATCATCGGAATGGACTTCTTCATGAATCCCACGGTCGTCGTTATCTCCGACGGCTTCTAGCTGAAGCTGAGCTATTCCCAAATTGATCCTGCTTCCCAAAGAGAAATTAGGGTCGGAATCACCTGAAATGATTGGGGATTTTCCCTTGTTGACCATGTTGATAGTCACTTCTAGGGGTTCATCATTTCGAGCAATCGATCCTCTTTGGTGGGAACGCCTTGATTTGGGCTTTGTCGGTCCATCGGAGATTCTTAAAAAGAAAAAGAACAGGATACAGTTTTCTAAGGCTAATACTAGAAGTAAACTAGGACTTTGAAAGTACTGTTAAAATAATAGATAAGAGAAATTGAATTTGTTACAGAGGCATAATGTGTGACAGTTACCTTCCATTGGCCAAGTAATGCCATGGGACAAACAATTAGGGTTCCTCCCTTTACAAAATTTGATTCTTCCTCAGGATTCTCCATTTCTATATCATGGTTTCTTGATCTTCCCCTTGGATTTGCAAGTATTAGAGAAATTGTCATGACAGTCTTTCCAAGCCCCATTGCATCTGCTAAAATCTGCAGAGTAGATAAGTCAAATGCAAAGCCAGAGCACAAAAAAATCTCAACTAAATTACAAGTTATGACAAAGAGCCTTGATAAAAAAAACAGCATGGAGCACTATTGAACTTGTTTATGTTGGAAATTGAGAGGAGATGAGGAGATAATATTTTTCTATATTATTCATCAACTAAAAGTGCCTTTAAGGATTCTTGAGCTCGGGGAAATCCACGCTGCGGTGGAGCTTTACCGGAGGCTCGGGATCTGAAATTGATGAGGGTTGGAGAGCGATATTACCTGCTTTTACCTCAGGCGTTGTTTTGGCCTTCGGCATCCAAACTCGTTCGGATTTCGGCGATCTCTTAACGGCCTCTCCCTTTAGCATCTCTCGTGCTTTTTGGACCAGGGCTCGGGCATGCGCACGCAAGGCGCGGCGCTTCTGCATTCCTCATTGCTCTCCTTTGGTCTACGGCACTGAGGGCATTGACTAAATCCACTAGAGTTATTTTGGATAGGTCTTTGGAATCTTCAAGTGAGGAAATTTTGGACTCATACCTTTCGGGAACAGTCACTAAAATCTTATCAACCACTCTTTCATTTGAAAATGTTTCACCAAGCAATCTAATTTGATTGACAATAGCCATAAGCTTACCGACATACTCTTTGATGGTCTCACCTTTCTTCATCTTTTGCATCTCAAACTCCCTCTTGAGATTCAGAACTTGCATCAATTTTGTTTGATCGTTGCCTTCGAACTCTTCCTTTAGCATCTCCCACGCCTCCTTAGGTGATTCACAAGTCATTATACTTGTGAAGATTCCATCTGACACGGCCGAATGAATACAAGAGAGGGCTTTTGGCTTCTTTGCTTTTTCTTCATCATGCTTCTTGATTTGTTTTAGGGTTGGATTTTGTGGAAGAGGGGTAGGCTCATAGTCACTCTCAACAACTTCCCATAAACTCAAAGATTTCAAATGAGATTTCATCTTGATAGCCCAAGATTGATAATTGTCTCCATTGAAGATGGGGTATGGAAGCGAAAAATTGTTGGATGCCATTAAAAAAAAAAGATTGATGCCATGTTCCGGCTGCAAATATCATTACTCTTTATGATGTAACAAATATCTGGCACATTCCTTTGCTTCTAAGGGAGCAAAAAGCGCATGAAGCAATATTAAAAGAATTGAATCTTCAAAGTGTTGATGGATACCCAGTGCTGGCGGAATGGATAGCTGGGATGAATCATTTCCTTATGCTGTCATGCTTGTAGCTCAAGACGTTGCACGGTGATGCAAAAAACATGGGATTAAACTTGGGATCACGGCTCTGATACCATGTTGGAAATTGAGAGGAGATGAGGAGATAATATTTTTCTATATTATTCATCAACTAAAAGTGCCTTTATATAGGCTTACAAAACAACTTAATCCCATAAAAATCTAAACTAATTAGCAACAACTCCACTAACAAAATAACAACCTAATAACAAATTTGAATCAGTTATTCAACAGTTTAAACGTTCAGATAAACATCTCAGATAGCATAAAAGTAAAGGTATCATTATGAATATCCTGCCTTAAACTGTCTGAATGTCCTATCTCAAACATTCTTCGCATGAGAAGGTGTAGGCTCACATGCAGTATGTATAAAATTTGATTCAAATTGCTCTATCATTGGTTTGCAGCCATGATATCTACTGCATTTTGCCTTAAAGAAGCATGTGCATACATCATCGCAGTTGCATCTATCAAATTATTTGCCTCAGGAGTATGCAGAAGATGAAATAAGAATAGGTCACAATCTAGTGAACATTATTATATATGAATGGATTCATATGTTATTACTCCAGTTCTTCATGTACAGGCACCTATTAAAAGAACAAACTTAATACATACAAATGCATGTTCTTGCTCATGGATTTTGGAGAATTTTAAGCCTTGAGACCACACCTATTTAATTTCGAATACGATGATCATAGCTTCAGTTTCCAATGTGCATATACTTACACTATCAACTGATACAAGTACATGCATATATGGGGAAGAGCACCCCAGGAGATTGGTCAATTCTTATATTGACCAATTATATTGTAGCATGTGTATTTAATGTTTTGCAGTATGAACAATCTTTCTTCTCATATTAGATCTCAATATCAAATAATCTCTGTAGTAGAGGGGGTGTATCTCATTTATGCATATGAGAAGAACTATTGCTGATATTCATGATAGTAAAAACAAAAATATATATGCACTAATCATTAATATTTCATTTACATGAACTATTTAGAAGCTATAAAAAATATAAAGCAAGTAACTCAGCAGTATATTGTGGCTCTCATTGTGCCCCTCCCCCACTTTTTTTCCTAATAGGCCAAAACCTATCATATTTTCAAAACAAGGGCCTCACATTTCAGTGTGCAAATTAAAATGTGCAAGGGAAAGAATGTTTACCCCTCCTCGTGCCATCTGAGTTGCACTAGGAAAATCAGCTATAGCTTCTCCAGAGAAAATATTCACATATATAGTGGATGCTCTCCTGGTCAAGACAAGATTGAATAGATCACGAACAAGTAACCACATAACAACAAAATTATTAATTTTGATAACAAAATTAAATTAAGAAATATTTCTTCTTACGTATCACAAATATTGTACTCTGCCCAACAAGGATGAAGTGTCTTTTCTGCTTGCTGCCCCTTCTCTAGTTTTGACATCCAATAGAGGGCTTGCTTTTGGTATGGCCACAAACTACAGAGGAGTGTGCTTGGAGGTTCTGCCTCCTGTCAATTTCAACAAGAAAATTGCCATTAGCACAAAAATCCATAGTAAGACGAAAAATGCTGAGGACAGCAAGTCCAGAAAAGCGTTATGATTACCTCTAAGTCATAAAACTCTGCAGTGCCAACAAGTTTATTCAAAGAGGCCTCAGAGATCGCTTGTTCATCTTCATCCTGTTCAGCATAAGTAGTGCCTGTTTTTCGCCGTTTTGCAAGACCCACAATTTGGGATTCACCATCACCCTGTTCAATTGCATTCAAGAAAAAGATGAGCTATTTAATTAGGATAGGCTACACTGAAGAAACATAATGGGATAACAATCAAAATCCTGATGTTCTTACTCTTAAACTTAGAGTTCGCTTTCCAGAATCAAGATCCTCAGGAGTGAATTCTGCCTATATCAAATAAAATCAAAGCCACCATTTAAAACAATGACAAGAATTAAGCTGAAAATAAATTCTAAGACCAACTTTTAAGGGGAACCTTTTGAACTGGTTTCATCTTCATTAGTCTGAAGAGAGTTGGGAGGGGACAAACATTAGGATCTATCGGTGCAGATGCTTCTAGCTTAAATGAAGATTTATCCCCTTCCGTAAAAATTGAATTATGAATGTATAAGCTGCAAAGTAACACATACAAGATACATATGATAATTACATCACATCAAGATATTCAAACATGAGTAGAAGACAAAACCAATCAAAATTACCTAACATATAACAAAAAATCTTGCATCAATCTAAGTTCAGTTGTCGCGGTCACACACCGTCCCTTAACCTTAACCTTAGACGAATTCACAAGCGGAATGAGACACCTCGACCATTCTGGTGGAAGCTTACCAATCTAATAAAACCAAATGCACACATACCATTAATTTAAAAAAACCAACTAATATGAAGGAATAAAGACTTGCACATATATATAAGACTCGGTGACAAACCTCTCCAGCTCTCTTGGTAGAAAATCTTACAATCTCCGACGATGCAGCTGCAGCTTTCACCCTCACCCACCTTCTCCCATATTGCTTTTGAAAATCAGTCTTTGGAAAGGTAAAGTAAACAATCTCACCAGGATCAATCTTCTTCTTCCCTCGACAAGTCGATAACCCAGCTACATAAGCTCTCCCGATAAAAACCCAATTGTCCTCTTCAGGAAACTCGGCAAACTCAGCTGCATCAACCTCAGGCACCAATTGAATTCTTCGATCTGTTACCGTCTCCGGCTTAATAGCCCTAATGGGCCTTGGATTAAGATAAGGAGCACAATGACTCCTTGCTAAAACCTTCTCATACTCTTCTAAAGCCTCCTTCTTTGGAGTAGCAACTCTATTAGAATCAGCCATCTCAACTTTTGTTCCTTGTTTTTTCTTGTTAGAAACAATATTTGATTCTAAAAGACTCGAGTTATCACCAACCTCCTCTTCAAGACTGACTTCAGTGTCTTTTTCGACGATCTTAGGCTCAGTAGCTTTTATGGGGAGTTCGGACTCTACCTCCTTTTCAACGGGTTTTGGGTCTGCGATTAGCTCCGGCGAGTCGAGGAGGATGCCGACAGCGCGATCAGGGTTGTTTCCGGCGGCGGTGAGGGCTCCGATGATCTTTGATTCGGGGATTTTGCCGCCGATTACTGATCGGATGGAGGCGATCTCTTCGGCGAGCAAGAACTTTGGCTTGAGAGCTTCGGATTCCTCAAGTGATGGCGGCATTTTTTGGGAGGAATTGGAATTAGGGTCGGAGATTTTAGAAGAGTAGAGGTCAGGATTTAAAGGGGATTTCGTTTTCGCGCCAAACTAAGTAACAAAATGGGGGGAAACTTGGCGGGGTATTTAGGATTTGGGGGAAAGAAGGCGGTAAAATTATTCCTTTTACCTTCTCTAGGAATTGGAATCAGGGTCAGAGATGTCGTCTGTACTGTAGCATTAATGAAATCAACGCCATCAGCCAAGTTATAAATCTCTAGGAAAAACTATCTCCTGCTCTGTCAACTTATTTGTCAATAAAGTGCGCAAGTCTATTTTACATTGAACTACACTGTTGGGCTACTCAGGTCTTGCTGGGTAGATTTTTCAGCAGAACAAATTTTCAATGTAGATCTAAACCAACTTTTAATTACCAAAATCGATCTATTTTTTTAATTATCAAAATCGATCAATTTTATGTCACGTAAGCTTAATCTCATTTTCTAATTAGTCGGGGTTGCCAACCCCGACTGTTTAGGAATTGTTAAACCCCAATTAGAAGCCTTAAACTCGGTTTTTAATGCCCTAAACAGTCAGGGTTGACAACCCCGACTAATTAAGAAATGTGATTAAGCTTACATGACATAAAGTGGGTCGATTTTGGTAATTAAAAAAAATGGGTCGATTTTGATAACTAAAAGTTGGTTTGGGTCTACAGTGAAAATTTATTCTTTATCAGCAGTCATTGTATATACAAACTTATCAAAAGAATGTTAAAACTTTATTTTATAGGTTTTTGATGTTTATATTCTACTTATTTGATTTTTTTTTAATTCATTTCAGGGGATGAAGGGTGCGAGATTGATGTATTGATGGGCTCACTAAAATCAAAAACCAAGGACTTTGACATATTTTTCTCTCTTTGGTTAAGATTCTTTATATGAAATTGATTGTAATAGACTTTGTTGGTTAAGATCTTCTATATGAAATTGATTGTAATAGACTTTGTTGGTTAAGATCTTCTATATGAAATTGATTGTAATAGACTTTGTTGGTTAAGATCTTCTATATGAAATTGATTGTAATAGAATTTGTGGCTAGAAATGGATTATAGTTTATATTAGCAATATCATGACATTTACTTTAGATTTGTTTTGGTTCTTTCATTGACATTCCTTTCTGCAAATATTATGTGTGAGAAATGTTGTTCTTTAATTAGTGGAATTGTGATTGTGCTTCTGCTTGTTAATATTTACAAACTCGATGTTGATGGCCACTCAAGTTTTTGTGTTAGGAAATTGCCAATTTTTCTTGAGTTAAAGTTTGTGCAAACATGTACAATAACTTGTAAATTTTTTGAAAATATGACATAATCACAGTTTAGTTTAATTTAATTATTCTTTGTAAATTATTTAAAATCTAAATCTAATTCCAAAAATTATGAATTATATTTATGTTGTGATAATTTCCTTCCTCTTTTCCTCATAAAAGTAACCAAACAAGAGAGAATGACTTTCTTATGAATTTTCTTCTAACTTTCTTTACAATATTCTTTCTAACCAAACAATAAAAAGATTATCATTTTCTTTTTTTTCCTTTCTTTTTACTTTCTCTTTCCTTTTCTTTTCTCTCCCTTTCTCTCAAACCAAACATAGCCTTAAGTTTTTTTTTTTGACATTCAGGGGAATTGTACACGTGTGAGCTATATATATAGAGAGAGAAGAAAAATAGTCCGACATCGGGCGCGAGAGAGCCGAGGGCAAGGGATTGGGGGGTATAAGAAAGAGGCATGGGGGGTGGGAAAAGAGTTTAAAGGGTCGGTTGGCTATGTATGCCACAATCGCCCTCGACTGGTGAGTGTTGTATGGCTATAAAGACATATGACCGACATAATTTGTGGGACTCAGCAGGGTTGGCTCGCTCGGCCCACCCTCCTTTACTATTTTCTAAGCCTTTTTACTGTTGTAGCATGTGTCCTTTTAAGGTGAATCGAAATTGGGGCTCGTTTTGAGATTGAGGCTCACGTTAGTGTTTATAAACTTCAAAAGTAATTTAAAGTGGATCATGTCAAGTGCGGTCACTGGTCACATGATGATTTGGCACCAAAATCATCACCTGCAACGAGGAATTGGGACCTAATTGACACTAATTGATCGCTTTTAATATCTCATTGTAGCTAGAGCATAAAAATATATACTGTACAATGGAGTATATATACATCAATAACGAATAACAAAGGGGGAAAGAAAGAAAAGAGGGGGAAAACACGAGAAGCACCGACAGAGCCTGATGAAACAACAAAAACGCAACATACGCACCTTAATTACAACTTCTCCTCCCCTAATTTTTTTTAATATTTTTTCTATTTCTTCCCCGTTTCCTTCGATTTCTCTGCAGCAACTCGTATAATCAACAAAACCTTCGCAAAGTAAAAAAAAGGAGCGAAAACCCATTAGATAAATAAGACATTCCTTTCAAATCCCTAGCCCGTATCTGGAAATTTTTTAAATTCATTAAAAATTCTCAAATCCTTTCAAAATAATTGAAAGCCAATCAACACCACACTTAAACCCAATGAGAAGTCAACAAGTCCATCATTAAAAGCCATTCAACATCAACAAGATAATTACGAGAAGCGTTTACCTGGTTAACTATAAGAATCGAAGCAATTAGGAAGGTTTCAGTCAAATCCAAAATGGGAAAAACAATGTTATTAGCGTTGCAGCTTAGATTGACCGATACCAACATGTTCAACAAACGCAATTCTAGGGCCAAGGGGAAAAAACAAAGATGACAAATGGGAGAATTTGCAGTCACCTCCGAAGTAATAAACAACCGTACTCCATGCTGCATTGTCGTATTTGTGAACTTCCAGTCGCAAGTAAGACATCGAATTCTAGATTTTCCGTTTAATTCGAGATTCACTCATAATGGCATGTTAGTTTCAATTCCTCTTTTTCCCTTTCAAAGAAAAAGCCATTTCTGAAATTCTATGAAATAAATATATATTACTTGTAAGGAGAAAACAACATGAGCAGATTAATAGATAAGGATACAGATTCAGCTAATTTTCAATTAGCAGTAAACACTAATTTCAGAATGCATAAGAAGGACCAGCCTCTTTGCTTAAGACGCAAATAACCTGTTAAGAATTTGGAAGGAGGCCTCCATATCAGCTGTTAAGAATTAATATAGCACATAGCTTGCGCCTGAACAAAATATGAATCCTTGTACTTTCTTCCGCTTCCTATGTGAATTCCATTACGGATCCAATCCTCTCGGTGAATCCAAGCCTCCCGCCCAAAATCAAGGATACCAAGTATCTAAGTTCAAAATTAAAAGAATTAGCCATCATTAGCTATGATGCTTTCGTTAACTACTCGTCAGGAAAATAGGACGAAAATATATCCGTAGAAGCATGTTTGGCAACTGGTCAAACTGTCTTATGAGTCACAAAAAGTGACTTATAAACCACTGCAACATGTTTGACAACTAGCTTATCTTGGCTTATAAGCCCAAAAAAAAAAAGTCTCCCCTAAACCAGCTTATTTTTTAGTATAAGCCATATAGTTTGACCAAGTAAATGTCAAGTTTATCCCCTCAATGTTTAAGATAATTTCAAAGTTTATTCAATGTTTAAATTTAGAGTCATGTCTAATTTCGTCATTTTGACAACAATGATGGATTATAATCTATCCATTTGCCAAACACTCTCTTATTTAAAGCCGTTCATAATCCATTTTTTTTAACCAAACAGTTTGGCTTATCATGCACTTGGCTTATAATTCATTTGTGGGTTATAAATCAAGTGGATTATAAGCCAAATTCCCAAACATGCTCCAAGATTCTTGTCATGTTATCTGACAAGCATAAGTCCACCAAATATTGTATACAGCTAAAAACACTATTAATCTCGTCAAAAAGTTCAGAAAGCACAAGTGAAATGGAAGTATACATAAGTTTCTAGGAACAATTATTCTTTTCTTTTCTTTTCTTTCAAAGTAGGAAACTGAATAATTAAGAAAACTGCTGAACATTGCTCCACGAAAAATCAGCATACATACACACTAAGGTATGCTCACTGGTAAAAAGACAAGCGCTTTAGGGAAAAAGACAGGGCATGGCTATATTCACCTCACAATCACCTAAGAATGTCGATAATGCAGCAACAAGCAGATGCAGACAACAAGGTTTCCATAGTCGCTGAGCATGACCTTTCCTATAAGAATACGAATTCTTGATCGTACCATCTTCATCTAGCATTTGTGTTAACTTTACGCAATTATTTCACTTTTTGATTTTATCGAATTGCATAATAAAAAAATTGCAACAAACTTTTCTTTAGTTACAACATGACTCCGAAAGAGAAGGCTTGTGCTCACACTTAAACTAATTAACTAATATGTATGATATTAGCTCATTTGGCTTTTGGATTCAGATCCAAAAAGATCTGAACCACAACTCCAATCCTATTCAGATCCAAAATTCTAGGTAAAAATAAGGCCCAAATCAGATCGGTTCTAGAATCTTAGATCTGAGTCTCAAAAGATAGAAGCTTGTCGACTTTTTGGATCCATTAACGATCCACTCCAATATTATGATGAGAGTCTTCCAAGATATCTTTCTATACGTTAACCGTGTAATTCAGTTTCTGGGTTCTCTACAACTGTCTTGATGTGATCCACATTGCATGTGCACATTTGGGAAGTATATAAGGTTGGCAAACAATATACTGCACTTGCTAACCTGCCTAAAAAATATTCAAAAAAGAAAACCGATGAAGGAGAAAGATAGTTTCATTTTATAAACAAAGAACTTATATTATTATAACTCTGATATAAACAATTACCAAGTTATTATACAAGGACTATAGCCGAACAAATCAAATACAAGGAAACTGATAGAGGTATTCAGTCAAAAAAAAATACTAAAGTTTAACGCAAGACAGAAAGGAGAGACTTACTGCACCACCCTTCCAAGACACAAATGATGGATCACTTCTGGATTGCAAGACCTGCGCATGTAAATAAAGAGAAAATCTTTTAATGCAAAATATTAGTAATTGCATTTACTACTTATTTCGAGCTACATCACCCACTCCCAAAAGGAACTCCTATCCCTTTCACCTTTACCCTTACCCTTTTTCACTCGGTCCTAGCTACATGAAATTAAAAATCATATGCAATGCAGCTAGGGTGATTTGGACCTTTCCATAGGAACCTGATGTTAACATATTCTCAGAACTTAAATGCAGTTTATTTCTGATTGTAACGTAACTGTATCTGTTTCCTTTGACAGTAAAATATTTCAAGGCTACAAACATTTCTAAAAGATTTTTCATTATGCCCCCACCTATTCCGTAGTTCTAGCTCCAAGTCTTCATATTTACGAATTTATCCCCTCAATTTGTGGTCTCTATTTTTGGCTGAAACAATTAATCTACCTTTTCTCCTTTTTTTGTTGGCAGCGGTAGGGGGTTGTTTTTGATACAGTAACTCGTATTTAAACAGTGGAGTACATACCTTTTGCTCTAGAAGTGGACGAAAGTTAAAAAAAAACATGATGTTCTTAGAATAGACAAACCTCCACAGTATCAATTGCTTCATTTGAAGGAATGGCATGCAAAACCCTGCAACCAGTAAGCAATCCAAGAGCATTTTAATATTCGAAAAAAATCTACAGAGCTAGAACATATTTGAAAAATTAAAAATAATTGGAAAAATTGTGTCTAGGCCCATCATGTGAAAAACAACCCTTGCATGTTGCCCCCTCAATAGAGAGACACTTTTATTTATCCTCTTTGCTTTTTTCATGAACTTATGAGAAATGTTTCATTCTCCTCAACCATTATCTCTTTGACCACCCTCTTCCCCACTACATTCTTCTCTTTTTCTCATTATTTCTCAAATCATTATTTTTTTCACTGCTACAGCCCCTCTCTTTTTCTTCTTTCTTTAACCATTTCTTCTTTCTTTAACCATCTTATCTCATTCTTCTTCCACAACTGCCACACATCACCTAAGCCCGTCGGTACCTTTGACCTAAATGGATCATATCTTAAAGTCATGACAAAATTAACACTTAACAGTTAAACTTAACGCTTACCATTTAAAGTTAACACCTAACAATTAAACTTAACACATAACAGTTAAACTTAACACTGAAACTTTAAAGTTAACAAGTAAGCATTAAAGCGAATAAGTGATCTCTAAAAGGAACTAAGAATTAAGCTTTTTCTCCACAACAGAATCTCCTACATCATTTTTTTCTCTTACCTCAACCATCCCTACTCCTTTCACAAAGTTCGTCACATCCCTCAAAGGTCATCTCCTTTGGCTAAAACGACCACTTTTTAGTGTTAACTTTAAATCTTAAGTATTAATTTTAAAATAATTATAAATTTTAAGCATTAACTTTAAAAACTCGAAGATTTTAGTACTTGAAATTAAAGTTAACACTCAAAATATAAAGTTCAATGCACCAAAGTTAAAGTTAAACACTCAAAAATGTCTGTTTTAGCTAAAGGAAATGGCCTTTGAGGGATACAGTGATGGTTATGGAAGAAGAAAGAGCCGAGATGGTTGACGAAAGAGAAAATAATGGCGGAGAAAATGTCGCGGCGGCAAAAATGCTTAATTATTAGTTTATTTTAGACATCACCTGTTCACTTTAAAGGTTCAGCGTTAAGTTTAACCGTTAGGTGATAAGTTTAACTGTTAAATATTAAATTCCACATAATTTTAGAAGATGATCTTTGAATGATACGGCGGCAGTTGCGGAAGAATGGGAAGAAAGTGAAGATGGGGCGAAGGAGGGAGAAGGAAGATGGAGATGAAAGTGGAGGAGGAAGGAGGATGATGAAGATCAGACAAAAGAGAGGAAATAGGAGGAAGGATGGCGAGTGGGGGAGGGAGGAGGGAAAAGTGGAGGATGAAAGACCAAAAAACAGTTGAGATGGAGAAGACGAGAGAGGAGAATGAAGTTGGCACGGAGAAGGAGAAGAGAGGAGGATGGGCGAAAGAAAGGTGGAGGTGGAGTGAAGGGAAAGGGAGGACGAAGGTAAGACAGAGGAGAGAGAAGGGAGGAAATAGAATGAAGGAAAAATGTTAACATGAGGAAAGGAGGAGAAGAAGATACAAGATTTTAGGGATAAGCAAAAGAGGAGAAGGGGGTGGGGGGAGGGGGTGGGGAAGGTGGAAAAAATGTTGGAAAAGGGCTTGCTAACATTTGACTTTAGTCAATTGGCTGGACCACTTGTTGAATCTTAATTTGGGGGCCTAGACACAATTTTTCCAAAATGATTATGTTTATTTATATTTCCAGTAGCAACACAGACTAAGATACTGAAGAAATACAAAAGGAATATACATAAAAAAGGTCACACAAAACATAGTCAATGGCCAAACATGATATGTAGCTCATAAAAATTGTTAACATTAGATGCACTATAATTTATAAAATTCTTAGTGTCTATATAATTCAAATATAAACATGAAGGAGAAATTTTCAAAACAGTCATATTCCCTAATTTATTCCTAAAATTTGACTCATTTCACTTTTATTTAGTGAAATCGACCCAGTTTCTAGTCACGTCAGCATCATGGCCAGAAACTGAGTCGTTTAAAAAAATAAACTTCTAATTAGTAGTCGGGGTTGGCAAGCCCGACTAATTAGAAACAGAGCTAAAGGGTTGTCAACCAAAATGATCGGGATTGTCAACCCCGACTATTTGGGGGACTAATTTCAAAAGTCTTCGCCAAATAATCAGGGTTGCCAACCCCTACTATTTAGGGACCGACCAATTGGAGCTCGAAATTAGCTAACTGCGACTTCGGCACGGAAAAAATGGACGGGGTTGCCAAAACCGACAAATTTGGTTGAGTTTGGCAACCCCGATAATTTTTTGTAGAGACTTGAATCTGGATCTTGAGCATATACTAATAGTCAGGGTTGTCAACCCCAACTAATTAAGTAACGCACTTTTAAAAATCGACCCAGTTTCTGGTCACGAAACTGATGTGGCAGAAACTGGGTCGATTTCGCTAATAAAAAGAGATGGGGTCGATTTTTGTGATAAAATGTGGCAATGAGTATATTGAAAATTTCTTCTAAACATGAATTCAGTTTTAAACTTGCTTGCAATCCATCTATAATTTTCATAATGAGACAACTTGTACTTGATCATCTTTTTCTGTTACATTTAGCAAATTATTGGGCAACGCAATAGAATTGATAAAGCACATGACATATCTATCATATTTGCGTACTATTGATCAAAAGAAATAGATGCTAGCAAGTAAGTTTGTGTATGTGATCCTTTTTCCATTTATTGATTTTTTTTTTTACGGAGCTAACCATGTTCATGTTTTTGAGTTTTTAAATAATTCTTTTACCAGTTTTGATCATATTAAATTTGAACAATTTATGCTTCTCTACTGGTGCCATATCATGGTCAGCTAACTATGCTCATAACCAACTTGATGGAAAAACAGGTTTAGATGATGGTTAATCCCTATTCAAAAAAAGGAAAAAAGAAGACTCGGACTAGACAAGAAAAGAAATGTTATGCCTATCTGCATTCAGGAAAGGAGACAAACCTCTCTTCCACTGCACCAACAAGCCCACTCGTCAAACCCACTCCACCAATCTACGAGATTGATATGTCATTAAGTTTCAAGTACCTAAAAAACATATATAATTCCTTAAAAAATTCTAAAACTCACCAACTGTATGCTACAAAACAGCTTCCTCTGAAGGTCTATGCGGCCTGTAGTTAGGCATAGGAATCTCTATTAGCTGAAAACCCATGAGAATGACAAAGCTTAATCCTCACTGATGATAGCAGCTACAAACTTACCAGTCGAAAGAATACTACTAGTAATTGCATCTGCAAGGCCAAGATTATCATCTCTCTTGAGTCTAGGAAATACTGGGTAGTTATCCCATATGTTTAATCCACCAGTACTACCGTAATACATGCCATCTGACATATCGGGTCGTCTAGGAAACTCCATATGCCACGTATCCTCAAGCATATCTTCGTAGTCATGGAACCTGATAACAACATGCAACATCATCTCATCACAAATATCGACTTTGAAACATTGTAGAATAATACAGATAAATTCAGCAGCAATGATGAGCCGATGACTTACCATGAACGAGGAGGTGGTGGGTATTCCTCTGGGACAAAAAGTGTCGGATAGAATAAGCCCATAGGAGGAACCTAGTATAAAAAATTAATGCACTAAAATTATACATGGATGTTATCAATAGGAAATTGAAATGTGTTAAAAGAAAATTACCATGGAAGGAAGTCCATTCAGACCATTGGTTTGCTCTATGCTAAAGGCATGAATGGGGGTTAAATCCTATTATCTTGGACAAAATGATCAAATCCCCCTTAAAGTATGATAAACTCTCAAGTGCGCCTATTTTAGCCCTTAAACTATGTGTAAGTGGTCAATGTGATCAGTTAGCGAGCCTACAGTCTTATATTAAATAGATTAATTATGTGATAATGTTTTTTTCATATTTCTTGTATTTACTGTAATTTAATAAAGATTTTTCAATTCCTAAAAAGGGTTATAGGGTAAAAAAATTTGGTGGAAAATAGTTACAAATTTTGTTTGGTTTGGAAAAAAGGAGACAAACTGATAAAATAAACCCATGAAAAAAATGCAATTTATTTTTTTGATAGATCTTGCTTGAATTTCTGCATGTTCTATCTCTAAACATGTTTTGATAGAAAAAGGCAAATGATGGTTATGATGATTACAATGATTATTGTAACCGTTCAGTGACAGGTACCTAGATCCATAGGTACAATGATATCTTAGTAATTTCAATCCCAAAGGAGTTTTTTTTATATATATATATATATATATATATATATATATAAATATATATTATATTATGGATATGAGATGACGGCTCCTTTAGCAAAATGAGCTACCAAGAGATAGCCATAGTGGTGAGGCCCCACATGCTGGGACAGCAACGAACACCTCTTCTTATCTTTTGGTAGCCCATTTAGCAAAATGAGCAGCCACTCGTATCCATCCACTCGTATCCATCAGACCCCATACAAACTGACACACTCACACAGAGTGCTTTGTGGAACCCGCATGCCTAAATCATACAATCGAATAGTAACCTGCTACCGTACACAAGTAACAAATCCTCTAAACTTTGACGCATGCTTATGAATGAAGATTGCCAAGTGAACAATGAACATCAGCGCTTATTGTAGTTCTATGATAACAATATAGTAGAACCTTTTTCATTCAATTTTAAAAAAAGGGGAATTAATTTCAATGCCATCATATTTCTGCAACACCCCTGGATTTCGATGGCATGAATAACTGAACTTTAGTTCCTCGAAGGAACATGATGAGCATTGAAGAAGTAGGCCGGTCTTGAGCAAAAAGAGGTGTTGAGAGCAATGGGAAGGAGTCACTTTTAAGAACCAGTGCTTTACCAAAATGCAACCATTATACATTAATAATGGTTTGAAATTTCAAGTTAAAGATTATGGAGTTTTCTATTTGCACCTTCTACACAGTCAATCAAACTGTTTTGATACACTTGAGTTCATTTTATTCTGTGGCTTAAAAATGATTTCAGTTGGTATATCAAGCCTTTCCCCTTGCTTTTAAGTTACTTCTAGCCTCTTTATAATTGTTGTGAATTGAACATTTTTTCTTCACTGACATCACCTACTTTCCCTAGGTTCAATGAAACATAGAATTCTCATGATAGATATCTCGACCAAACATCCAAGAAAAGTCTTGACTTATTAGATGATAAACTAGAGTTCAACTAGAGGCCAACGACATTACATTAAGCGCTGATAGCCTTGTCTTATGAGATCCAACAGGCCTGCCTTCCTCATATGAATGAACTATCGCCACAGCATCATATTCCCCTTCCTGTACAAAGTACAAAAAGAAAAAGATTTCAATTGAAGGGATTCAAAAGCTATTCTGCTTTTAAACAGAAACTTCAAACAATGTCTCATAGGTGAGCTAATATAGATTACAGTATAATTTAATAACAGCATCAGCATGGGGATAATTGCTTGAATTCAAGGCGAGAACTACAACATAAGACAGGAATGTGATTGCCAGCTGTTTTTAAAGAAAAAAAACCAATAAAAAGAATGCCTTTCACAACACAAAACTCGCAGCAAAAGCAGGAGTAACAAAAAAAAAGTAGTAACGACAAAAAGGAGATACGGCATTGTATAAATAAAAAGAAGTTTTACCAGAAAAACTATCCCCGTACTTCAACAACATAACCCTCAAGAAAACCCTCAAGAAAGACTTCCCAAAAGAGGTCAAATTTTCACATTGTATTAGCATCAATTTGATATACTTTTCAACCAAATTTTATGTTTGTAATTGTAACATAAATGTCACTATCATTATTCCAAATTTGTTGATATCATCTGGGTTAACAGGAAGATATAACTATTTCGTGCTTCATGAATTCAGTCTCTCTTATTTCTTTGATTTAAAAAGATTTAATTATACTTATCCTTCTACAAAAAATTAGTTAAAGTAACAATTAAACTCTTATATTTTATTTGTTAACACTTTTCTTTCCCAAGGTTTACTCCGATGAACCTTAACCTCCTACCGTCTAGCATAAGCATCTATGATGCGGAGGCAATTGCTGATGCTTTTTGGGAGAAATCGGACGGTGCAAAGCCTTGGTCCAAGAAAAGAGGATGCGCACCAACAAAAGAGGACAATTTTAGCCTGATTCCGACGTGCAACTTCAACACTCTAATTTTTTATTCCCTCCATGGATCGCTATAATAATATGTTTTCGGAAAATCTCGAATACTACACTTAGAATAACTTTGTCATTCCAACCGAGTTTCAGGGTCAAAAGGAATTTGTCTTCTGGCTCAAATTGCACATCAATGAGTTTTGCTCTCTTTTAGTTTCTAGTTTTTATAGAAAGTCTCTTTGTTTTAGGAGATGCTAGTTTCATACTTTTGCATTCTTTTCCTATTTATTCTCTCTACCCCTAAAGTACTCAGCCTTGTTTGTCGCCCCCACCCTCTTCTAAAATCCCAACCAAACCCCCATCATATAGGATATTAAGGTAAAAACTTTGGGAGGAAGAAATATAATTATCAAAATAAACATAAACGTCAACATAAACAAGATGTTTAAAAAAATATGAATCAAGCTAGCCTCAAGGGCTACCACCAACTAGGATATTTGTTGGTTACCATTAACTTGTCATATCAGAAATAGCCATCATTTCTTTTGCATTGGAGTTCTAGACAACATTATAAGGTTCTTATTTAAATTCTTTAACTAAAGAATTACTGGATACATAGACTTAATCATATATCAGCACACATTTTATAACCCATATAAAAGATGTTCAACAGGAAAACAAGTTTTAAATAGAAAATGGTGAAGAAGATATCCTGCAGTAAATAAAATTTAAAAGAAAACTATCCAATGACTAAATAAGAAGTTACAAATGGTTATGCAAACATGTTATTAGTTAACAAAAGAACATAGACAAACCAAATTGTACATCACATAGTTGGTCACAAACAAAAGTCATATAGAAAACGGTTATGATAAGTTGATAACTTCGGTAAGAAAAAGAAATTAAAAAAAAAGTTGTAAGCATAAGAACAATAGCTAACGCAAATATTCATAAAGTGAGACAGCGAGAAACGCACTCTAATATTGCAGTACGACTCTTTTAGTTTATTCAGCATTAACAAGTCAATAGGCCTCTGTATAGGTTTGGTATGAATAGCTGGCCATCTTTGATGATGGTGTTGCACCCATAACAGGCATCTCGAGATATCCTACAAATACGCATGAACATATTTCATGACATTAGACAAATTAAAATTAACAAGGAACAATAGATATTAAAGAAAACCAATGTCCTAGAGTTAGGAATTATGCCCATAATTTTATGGCTTCCTAAACAATCACTCGAGCCTTATGGCCTAGTCGTAGGAGATGACTGGCCAAGGAAAAAGGGAAAAAAAAGAAGGCAATTTTCGCCATTCTCATCAAGTTTTATATAGGAACTGACATTGAGAGGTCTCTAAAACAGCATTAGATATAAAGAATTGCAACAGAATAGGAAGATTTCATAAACTAAATAGAAATTCAAATAAGTTCAGTGGGGTGATAATGAAAATGAAAAGCAACTCCCACTATGCGACCCTCCAGCATCTTTTACACTGTATTACAGACAGAGGCACATGAGGGATCACCAACAATCACTGGATTAGAGAATAATGTCAGGCTGATACAGTATGTTTAATCTTATCCTGAAACTTGAAATATTTAAATAATGGAACAATTATATTCACCATATCAATATTTTACAGTTATAAACTTTCGTCATTTACCAACAATTAGTAGATTAGACTACTAAACCAAAGGACAGAATATCCACCATTTTGGTTATCAAAAAGAAATATCACAAACAGTTATTCAAATTAAAAACAATAGAAGCTATGCCAAACCTCTCCGCCATAGGGCAATGTAATGCTTGTAGAAGGCAAAGCCACTCCATCCTGAACAATATCAGTGAGTCACTCAAATTCAGTAACTAAAAAATATACTTGACAGGCTGAAAAATCAAGAAGAAACTGATATGACAAAGACATTCTAATAACAGTTTAGTAAAGTGCAGAAACTTGGCAGAAATTATTATGAGTAGAAAGGTGACAATAGGAGTTCCTTACCTCGACACAAATCACTGATGTCACCTGAGCACCAATATTCACAACACAGGCTGTGGACAACCCATTCCCAAATGCTGCAGCAAGACCTTCCTGTAGATGGTAAAATTTACTTAATAAGTTACGTATATGGATATAATATTCATAGAGCATTTTCTTAGAAGTACAAAATCTGCAGATGCAATTAGAGGAGTAACTTCGAGTATAACTCCAATCTCAACGTGTTAGGAAAGTCTATCCTTGTAGGCAAAGATAATATTGAAGGGTCATATGACCCTGAGCCGCACCCATGAATTCCAGAGTCTATTTCTGATTGGAACACATGATACTAAAGCGTGAGAGCAACATGATGAAATGTTGCCCTGTGGCTAGCCTACATAATCTAAGGATAGAGTCATATAAATTAAAGAATAAAGAAGGCATGACGACAGGAGAGAACAAGAAACTAGAGCTCAATTATAAAATTGATCCCACTAAAAAAGTAAAGTCTTGTTCTTTGATGAGAAAACAGAGTTCAAAAGATTGATTTAGGTGCAAGGAAAAGAAATAATAAACTTCCACATATAAATAGATGCTGTTTGGCTGAGGTAAATCCTAGAAGAAATAAAAACAAGACAAGCATCAAATGTATCTTTTAAAAGCTACTAGCATTCATAATGGAAGGTTAATAACGCATTATTAAGATAGGCCATAATATTACACACCTAAGAGCTATGACAAAATTCTGAAAGTGACAGCACAGGGTAGTCATTAGTCACAAAGACATAAAAAACATTGTGTGTTTGTACTTTTTAAGTTCCTCGTAAGCTTTTTGCCTCAGTACGACATGATACACAACCATTAAAAAATCGTGTGGTAGCATATATGAAGCGGCATTGCAAGAGCTCCCACATGAGTATGTATATGACATTTGTTGAAGCGTTCCCACCATGATATATGGAAACAGTTGCAGCATTCCCACCACAATCAAGGGAAGTTTAATTTCTTAAGTTACAGAAGTTAATTGAGCGTTTCCTTAATTCTTAGATTCATCATTCATTCAATTGTGATTCATTTCTACCAGCAGATAGAAGGGCATGTTTACAAAATACTCCAAAAACAAAAGATCATTAAGTTTAAGGGGGGTTTTCCCCCTTTAAACCCAAAGTCCACTTTATTTTTAAACCCAAGTACTTTTATTTGTACTCATAAACCAAAAAAACTATCATATCTATCTTTAAACCCAAAAGCATTTAAACAAGATATGAATACCATATATCTCTAAAAAAAGAGCAAAAGCCCACAATGCCCTTCATCTCTCTCTTTTCTCTTCTCCATAACAATTAGCCGATTATTTCTCAATAGCTAAAAAATATTATGAGAATTTTCTTCAGGTCATAAAATATGCAGTCTCGGAATTTGTTCACATTTGCCGCTCAACATACATAATTTGAGTCTCGCATACTTAAAATCTGCAGAACATGACTCACTAGAATATTACAGGGGCCTAAGACAATTATCACCCTCGTACTCTTTGGAGAAAGTTGAATATTTTATTAAGCAACTAAAAATTGTTTACTTCATTAAATGAAAACATGAACCTAGTTAAGTCTTCTTATTGTTACAACTTACAAACGTCCAATCTAGCTATCCTTAACATTGTTAAGGAATTATATCGCAAAAATACAATTTTGAAATATAAATAGTAATGATATACAAATATGAAAACCAAAGATATCATTTGGGCAAAAGAAGGTGAGAACAGATGTAGCAACCTTCTAAGTTGTCTTCCTACAATATAATAACTCCAAATCAACTGAAACTATCAGAATCACTCCTACATTGGAGAAGGGGAAAATGCTTTACTGAATGGCTAAATGGATATAACCCTCGAGTTTTCTTGAAGTAACAAAGGTTTTCTCAAGGAATCACTCATTACTATTGCTCAAGTAAAACTTCTATGTCTCTCGTACTCATGACCTACAAAACATGACTAATATCAGTGGCCTAAGACAATAACAAGGTGTCCAATAAAGTAAACAATCAAAAAGAATCTCTAAAAAAGATCAGAAGTGCCCTTGACACCTTGTAGTCTAGGAACTGACTAATGGAACTTATTCCTGGCAACAATGTTTTCCTGTAATCAGTTACAGGTTGCCGTGAGCATACCAAAAAGGTCCAGTGTGTATTCAAGAGAACATTCAACTAAAGCATGCCCATAAGACGGTTTCAAGCGCTGCATGCTGGACTAACCTTGGTTTCTTTTAACTAGGGTTGCAATCTCATTAGGCTTCTTTCCAACAGATTCTCACAATCTAGCATCATACCCATTAGAACATTTTTCTGAACATGTATTGTTCAGGACATTGCAGCTTCTACAAAATAGTAAAATTATGTCATTTCCAAGCAACCAAAATCTTTTTTCCAAGCTTAGTGATTTCCCTAGTATGCTCCCTAACCTATTTTGCAACAAATTACGTGACATTTTCCAATATTTCAAAAGCAAAACCAACACGTCGACTTCAGAGACTTAAAAGGTATCATAAAATCAATAGTCAAAAAACCACTTCCAATGAAATATAGAATCAATAGTCAAAAAACCACTTCCAATGAATATAGAATCAATAGTCAAAAAACCACTTCCAATGAAATATAGAATACAAAAAATGGACTATATCATGATTCGTAAACAAAGATCAGTAACAAGGTATATACATAAAAATACCAACTTTTAGATATTCATAAACAAAATGTGTTGCAGACCTGATGTACCACTGCAGAGCTAAACCTTAAATCTCGCAGCACAATTGACAGCATCTCTTTGATTTCTGGAAAAATTAATGACATCAAATTATGAAAAAGAAATTTCATAGCTTAAGCCTTAAGCTATCTAACAACTTATCAAAAGGAAAATACCTAATAAAAAAGTACAAGAGAAAAAATCTATTTAACTCCACAATTTTGATTTGATGCCCCATGCAGAGAAATAAAAAAGGCAAAGTTATTTATTCATCTAACCCTAATCTCCCTTAAATAGAGATTAGGAGGATATTACAAAATAAGTATGAGATAAAATCATATCTAATCACATCTCATAATATCTCAATAATATCTCCTAAACCTAAATACCAATAATATCTAACACTCCCCTTCAAGCTAGACCATATATTACTATATATATCCAGCTTGTTACAAACCGAAATAAACAGCTAGTTGCAAGAACTTTGACAATGTCATCTTTTTCCGGAATACTTGAAGACATCAACGATCAGAAAATTGTAATAATAGTCATTGGAAATCCTAGGCAGGTTAGCCAATAGAAAGAAATTCTAGGTAGGTCAACTAATAGAAACCCTAGGCGGGTCAACCAGGAAAAACTCTAGGCTAGTAGCCAATAGAAATAACATCTAAAGAGAACCGTTATCGTTGCATATAACTACCAAAGATGCCTAAGAGTAAATAGTAATGCCGATATTGTTCATCATGTGAACAGTATATGCCTTTTTTATTTAGGTGATTTTGTGGAGGGTCACCTTGTAGAGGGTGTTTGATAAGATCTAAAAAAACAATGATGTCAAAGTTGTTGATGTTATTGATGCCATCAAAAATGTTGTCATAGCTGCAAAGGGGACCATGAAGGTCATGCAAAACCCCTCGATGGTCGCGAGATCTAGAAAGATGGAAGTTGCTATAGAGAAATAGAAAAGACAAAGTTATTTATTCATCTAACCCTAATCTCTCTTAAATAGAGCTTAGGAGAATATTACAAAATAGTTATGAGATAAAATCATATCTAATCATATCTCACAACATCTCAATAATATCTCCTAAACCCAAATATCAGTAATATCTAACACACCAAATTCATCACAGCAACATAGTTGTAATTTCTAAATGGGCATGTAGTCAAAATGTCATTTAATTATAAGGACCTACAAATTTTAGTCGGTAAATCTTTGTGCGCAAACCTTTACGTGCATAAACTTAAAGTTATCCCTTTTATTTTGTAAATGATAAATCCATGCATCTACTTAGATTATTTCTTTAACCATGTATTTATTAAATTTTGTAATATAATTATACAAAGTCACCATATAGGTTAATTACTAAAGATCAAGAGTTGATTGTGATTAAAAGTTTCATGTGATGCACACATAAGTTTTAGAAACATTAATGTCATTGCCAACTATGAACTATGAAGATCATAAAATTACATTTTGTATCAAAGAGTGAATATTAATTCCTATATTACACAAAAGCAAGTAACTGCAAAATTGAATAAATTAAACTTTGAAAGTTAGATATGCAGATTAGTTTCAGTTAGAATAATTGCTCAATTTCATTAGATCTGTTCCAGAAAATTGTATTTTTTGTTAGGGGGTAATGTTGAACAATAGATTATAACAATTTAAAATGCTATCAAGTGATATAAATAGCCTAATTTAATTGGAGATTAGATGCTATGATGACTGCATTTGTTATGCACTTACAGAGATTTAATGGACAACATTTGAAATTAAGTTCCTTGATATTCAATCCATAAAAGAATAAAACATCGTTAGTACAAAAGATTAAAAAAATAAAAACAGATGGGCTATGACTTATGACTTGTGAACAGAGGAAATTAAAACTAAAATATGGCCAACTTTACCCAAAATTTGTGTAATAAGATGCAAAGGAGTAAATGACATGCCTTAATATAACAGTTGACTATGCTTTCTGAGAGAAAATATAGTTCAGCAAGTTACAATTTTTTTTTGGTACATACAAGATAGTACTAGAATCTCTCTCCTTTCCTTAGGCTTGGCCGCATGATTATAATCGGTGCCTCATATTCAATGCATTCATTGTGTTCTAACTACTTCTACATCATATAAGATCAGAATTAATCTATATGATCAAGAACGACATAAACACTCGAGAAATGAAGAACGTTTTTTATGGCTTTGAAAGATATAGGTCTTTCTTGTGCATGGCGACTGGTCATTCCTCATTGCCCAATAGTTGTTATTATCTATGGTGTTATCTTTGATGTCACAACTTGTCATTATAAATCAATCTAAAGTAGACCGTCAGAGTTAAAGTTTACATAGTACCATAGAAAGCAAGAGAATCTTCTAATCCCATTGTATGTCTTTTCCATGTCATTTCCGCATAAACAAAAAGGAATGCTCCAAGCAAGCTTCTAACAGAAAACAGTTGGTGTTTCCTCGATGAAAAAGTCTTTGGTTTCATTGATATCTCTCTTAAAACAGAAGAATTTTTTAGGGTTGAAGTGAACGGATCGAAGAATAACATTGGCAAGTTATATTGCTTGATCATCATATAACTCCAAGATATCTAAAGATTCTAATGAAAATGTGATAACGGATAAGACTACTGTTCTTTATTAAAAAAGGCCCTGAAAAAAGTATAAAGTCAACATATAGCTAGGTACAGAAAACCTAGACAGAGAAAATACAAGGAAGAATCAATGAATGGGTTTTCTATAACATACTTTAAACTCATCAAATAAAGGCTGCATTAGAAAACTGTCTTTCTTAAGAAAAATGCTAGTGGAACAGCAAGATGCTGGGGTTTGCTACTTGGAACTACATTTGTCAAGTAATTGTAATAAAACCCAGAAATTATGCGGAAAACACATCTAAATGGAGAAACTTCTGCGGTAATTACATCTATTTATTCAGGGGTAATCACATGCCCAATGCAGTGACATTATCCATATTAAATAAAGTAGCTAAATTTTGGATATTCATTTTCCTCCCTCCTTGTGAACAGCTAAAACCTGAGCATGTGTGTGGGAAACACCATTTTATGGTGAGATATGGAGAGAAAATTCGTAGTTAAATTGAGATTCTTGGAGTGTGAGGAGAGACTTGGATAACACGATAGGAATTATATGAATTGCATTATTGTTTTAAATATCCCCGACATGGCCAGATATATCTCCTGATATATCCTTTTACAAGGCTTGCCACAACTGATATGATCTCTAAATATCTTTTACCGCTTTTTGGCTATTTTGGGCGATATATCCCCAATATAGTCGAGATATCAGCCGATATGTTGACCGATACATCCTTTCATATCGCTTGTTGTAATACAATATACCATGTTTGGCAATTTTTGAGCGGCATATCGTGACTTTCCCATTATATGAAATGACATTTCGGCCTAAAAAATAAGACAAAATGTTGTAACGCTGATTTGTACCTTTTTTGTTTTACACGGTTGATTAGTGATCCTAAACATATACTATTTACAAGTTATATGCTTAAATTTCATTAAGTATGTTGATATTACATTTAAGTGCAGTATACTATACATGCAAATATCTGTTATTGCGTTCCGATAAACCACATATCCTCGATATTTTCCTGATATCTGCAATCCAATTTAAATTTAGCCATCCAATATTACCTAGATATCCGATAGTTAAACCCTTACGTAGATTCTTAGTTGGTCCAGATTTGAGGAAATCCAATTCCATCGTGAACTGACATTCAGTCCTTCATATTAACAATAGGTGGTTAGATTTCACTATCACCACATCTATCATAGCAATATTCAAAGGCCTTGTCGCATCTCAATTATAATTAAATATATGCTGCTCTTTCATTGCATCAGATCTTCCTAATTACATTGTTTCACCTAACTCTCTTCTGAGCTGATGGTCACCACATTACCAATCCCAGAATTTCAATAGATAATGGAGTATTAGGGCTCTTTTTTAATTATCAGATTCTTTTGTTTTAGATTTGAAGTTTTCTAGTAGTAACTATGTTGTCATTTCAAATTCTTAATATCCAATCATGCATGGGAATTGCAATCAGTTATTCCAATTACATTCAACCCTCTGTTTCTCTTCCTTGACATTTACAATTGTGTGCATTTCCTTCTTGCACCTGTTTTCTGACCTTTCTATTATTATTTACATCCAGGCATACCAGGATCTTTTGTCACAAAAGAGCAGTAGAGAAGAAGTCATTAAATAGGAGACCTCTTTATTTTAAAGAAAGTTATACTTACTAGTATCAAATAAGAAGCATTTTGGTTATTTAAAATATTCAAGGAGATCATCATCGTCGTCATCATCTAAGCCTTTTACTGGTTGACAGGATCAGTTATGGAGCACAACTGCACAAGGCTCCAGTAAATAGTTGATAAAAGCTGGAAACTTATTACTTATTCCACCCCTCTATAGTGAAGCTGAATATCAGGCCAAGTAGAATTTGGCAAAAAAAATTGTTTCATAATCCTAGCAAGCTGGCAGGCAGCTAGCCACTCTGCTTATCGCTCATGCAGTTTAAGCTCAAAGAACTACTGAGCAACCATCCAAAATGTACATAGACTGAAAAAAAGATATATAAGAAGACTAAGGATGCCAGTTAGTACCTTCCATGGAGATATTAGTAAAATGTAAATGTACTATGCAAATAAGATGGTAATTTGGGGGCTCAATAACACATACTTATACGCTTCATATTAAGTAACTTGGATGTGAAATTCATGACTACACTAAATTATGATAGAACTATGCAATTCATAAGGATTTGTGATAACTTTTATATCATTCCAATGGTGTGTGGAGATAAACAAAAAAAGTTATTTCATGTGAAAATCTCTAGTTTTTTAAAACAAGATCAATTTAACCGAATACCAAACGTCGAGTACAAGATAAAGCCTGTTTCACACCTGGCCTATACAGAAATTCATTATTGTCATGTCCTGAATATAAAATGAAACATCCAATAACTAAATCAAAAGGCAAAAAGACTGTGTGATTAAGCTCCACTGCACCAGTGATCATTTTCCTCTACCACATAAGACCAGTCACCTACAACTACATAAAGCACATATATAAAGAAGATATAACAGACGTATATGTGTTTACAAAGCAAGATAGAGAAAGAAAAATGTACCACGGCTATCGAATGTCTCAGGCACTACAAGAATTGCTGAATAGAAGTTTCTGTCATCCGGAAGAATATGCAGTTTATCAATTAATATCCAGTCCCAGATAGCATAAAGATCTTCAATCACCTGCAAGATTATTGTTTGTATTGTCACAGGACTACTAAACAGCACTGAAAAGGACAATCTAATATAAACTGTTCTTCCAAGTTATGATCCCAGCTTTTTCCCATAAAAATAATAACTTGACAAAATTTATATGACTTCTGTCAATCTTACATCAACCCTTGCTGTGTTGGTGCTGATTCATGATGGATGCAATTATATAGAATAGAGGTCCTCTGTTTGATAGTCAACAAGCTGGAGCCTTGTTGTCTCAGATTGGTGTAAAAACTATAAGATGATATCATGATTCATAAGGGACTACTTGTTGCATCACCACCATCTATGAAATGCAAGTTTCGAAGAAGCTCATCATACAGTCCCAAATACAAATTATAGAGCAGCTATAAATTTTGTTCAGCTCTAAAGTCACCATAACCAGTGTTACACAGCTGTCAATAAAAAATTGAAACATCATGTGGTTGTCCAAGTTAATACCTGCTGTTGAGGATAGTGCTGAGACACATTAAAATGACCTCTACGAATAGGACGACGTAAGCAGTATGGCTCAAGAGAGGAAATTTTCAGGGCTTCCTCTCCGCATATAAACTCCTTATACTTGTATTCATCAGAACTGCAACCTTCAACTTTTGGTTGGTCCAAAAGCCCCTCTTCGGCACCTTTATTTTCTGAGCTTTCTGAAGAAATGTCCAACACAGGTTGCACAAAGCATATACAAATAAAAATAAGCAAATGAATCCCAAATAGATCAATTTCAGTTACTAGTTCAAGACATCACACTTTAGTAGACTTATTGATTCAAAATAGAAGCTGACAACTTCCTCAAAGAAAATGGAGTTGAAAAGAGAGTAACAAGCCTATCATTTGCAATCTGTGAGTGAGAGCAACATAATGAAAGAAAATAAATCATTACATTTCAGAAACGCATTAGCTACATGTGAATTTGTACTTTTATACAAAAAGAAGGGTTGCATGCTGTAGAATGTTCAGAATAAGGTATTTCAAATTGTTACCTGTACAAGCCATTACTGAAATGCACACCAAATGCAGATCAAAGAATCCTATCGATTCAAAGGTGAAGCTAAATACTTAACACAAGAAAAATGGAGTTGAAAAAAGAGTAACAAGCCTATCATTTCCATTCTGTGAATAATTATTTTCAATTGAGAGAAACATAGAAAGGAAACCAGTCACTACATTCAGAAACTGTTTAGCTACATGTGAATTCATACTTTTTTAAAAGGCCATATTCTGTAGAAAGCTCCAGTGAAAATAAAAATGTTTCAAATTGTTGCACGCACAAACCATCACTAAAATGCTGAATACACCACATATAGATCACAAATTGTTGCATGCACAAACCATCACTAAAATGCTGAATACACCAAATATAGATCAACGACGAACACACGCCTACAAACATGAAAAAAAATAAAGCCTTGCTATATTCTGCAAGCACCAACAAAACTGACAAATCTGATTGGCTAGTTTCAGATGATTCCATTGAAGAGCAAGATGATTACAGTTTTTCACTTTCCATTTTGTTTGTAAGAATGTGCAAATAAATAGACTTCTTATCAGCTCATCTACCTTCCACTACTAATCCTTCATAATGTTTGAATAAAAAGGCATGAATTTATTAATCAAGCATTTTGACTACCACCATGATACTAAGTACTAAAATATAATCCGAGAATGACACCGAAAGAAGCATAAAAGAACTGCCTTCACAGATCAATTAGCTAAAGGTTTAATACTGACCTTTGCTTGCAACAAAATCTATGACTACTGAAATAACACGATGAAGTAGAGAAAGAAACTTAAATATGCGAATAGCTTTTACTACTCTCAGTAATTTTGATGAAATAGTAGAGACATGTTACGACTTACGATCAGCAATAGAAAGTTAGAAACAAGCTTCATGTTGCAGAAACTTGTTATGATTAGCAATAGAAATAAGTTTCATGTCACAATCATTTTACAAAAAAACTTATTGAAGGAAATACAAAATTTCTTCCAAGGTATAATTAAATACTCAAATAGTTAAGGAATTAAAAGAACCCAAAAATGCGAGCAAATTTTGGTTTGACATACCTATTGCTGAAGATGTCTTTTTCTCCATCACATTTGTCCAGTTGAAAGCAATATCAGTTCTGCTTTGATATGGGGTATATCCATCAAGACGTCCCATCTGCAAAACAAATTCATGTAAATTCATATGGATGTTCAATATTAGAATGCACAAAATACAAGCACATGTACTCATGAACAGGAGTTTAATTCTATAAGGTAAGGTCTACAAATTAAAATTACATAGAAATATGATTATTGTATGAAAACAACGGCAGAAATGTCCAGATTGATTTATACTAGAGTAATACTTGTTACTGAGGTAATAAACATGACCATACAGATGGCACTAACTAGTTGTATATGTTAGGGCATAAATTACTTAAGGGAAAAAAAACTGAGTAAACAATTAATCCTTTTCTTTTCTTTTGAAAATCAAATAGGATGATTTAAAAGTGGCCCGCGCCAGGTTACGGCCTATTCCACCAAAAGAAATTGACATTACGCCAATAAAATGATTTCTTTTTTACTCTCTCCTTAAAATCAGAATGAATATGTTATGAATTAGGGCAGACCTCATCGTTTTAACAGAACAAATGCAGTCCTCAAAACAAGAACATTGCCACAGCAGTTCCAGCCAATAAAAAGTAGTCAGCTGCTTAGACAGGCTTCTGGACACCAGACCTACCATAAAGAAAAGGGAATGAGTGAGAGAGCACGCTCACGTGATATCCACCTCACTGTAATCTCCCAAAACAACCAGCGATAACTAGATCATAGCATCTGGCAGATTCTAAATTCATAAATATCTATCACCAAATCCTGATTTTTGTCTTGTTATAAACAAAACCATATCAAGATGTTAGTGAAGTTGTTCAGGAATAATTATTTTTGTACAAGCTTTAATAATGAACTTGGCCAATCAGTTCAACCCCACACTTAATCCAGCTTGTACCATAAGAACCACATTAATTTGAGTAGACAAAATAAACAGTTCAGCAAAAACGTTCACATCCTAAGAAGTCTTTAGAACTGTTTACCAACCATTAAAAATAGGTAGATGGACCCTTCAGCGTAATCTAAAGCTTGCTCAGTGCTCATATTTGGTTCTATAGATTCCATTCAACAACTAACCATCGTCTCTTCAAAGTTCTTCCAGATGCGTCATAAATTTCACAAGGTTGAGATGATGCCACTTGACAGTTCAGTCAATTTGCCAATGACAATGAAACCAGAGGTGAGGACCTAAACCAGACGTTCACTCGCATGCAGCACAGAACCCGATTATGACCTCTATATTTCTACAGCTTTGGTTTATTTTCATTCGTCATTAAGATTGTCAGAACCGCATCCAGCCCTATCAGGTTCCAACTGGGGGTTCTCATAGCTTCCTTCTATCACCCTCCAGATAACAACAGCCACAGTAATTTTCAACATACTAATTGGAAAGTAACCATATGCTTCTACCAGATAAGAAAGGAAGCGGAAACCCACTTTATGAAATTCATATTATGGAATACCCTTAACAAACCAAACTTTACAATGGCGAGACTACAACAGATTTTGGAAGGCAAGGAGGTGCTCTACTTTGGGTAAAAGAGTGGAATTCCAACTCAGATATCTCACAATGACTTGCAAGTACATAATACTTTCCCCGATTATAAGACCAACTCCAGCAATGGATAATTGGAGGGATAATTGGCTCCAACAATGGATAATTGGAAAGGTAGAATGATGTGGCTTTGTTTGGGAATTATTGAATAAATAGGGTATTATTGAAAGGAAAACAAATCAAATTATGCCATGTGTCTTTAGTCTCCTCAATTATTTGTTGCTGGAAGACAATTCATGCGCGGGAGAAAAAGTAAAGGAGATGAGATGCACATGCGACATGTGGCAACTTTTGGTTGGGCAATGCGATTTTCATTTCCACCTTTTTTTTAAATGGTATTTTTTACCAATAAATTGATCAAATAAAAAAAAATAAAAATCACCATAATTTTTCTTTTTCCGAGATCTATAAATAGAGTCCAAATTTACTTCATTTGGACACCAAAATTTTTTGCCTATTTTCTTCAAGATTTCTATCTTCCTCCAAAAACTTTGCTATCTTTCAAATATGGACCCTAACCAAAATTTTAATCATCCCCCACCTTTCATGTATCCTAACCAACTTCAAAATTCCAATAACCAACGTCCAGAAAATCTTCAAAACATGCCATCCAATTTTCAGATGTCGTTTATGATGCCATCTAATTTTGGTATGCAATATCCTTATAATTTTCCTTATATGCAATATGGGCAACAAACCGGTGGAAGTAATCATGGTGGTTTCCCCAATATCAATAATCAAAACACCGAGCAAGTTACTCCTCATTTTAGCAGTGGATCAACAGATGTACCTGAGTTTTCCACTCAAATATCTCTTGGAAATGCTGATGAGGACACACCACATAGTTTTTTGGCCCAAACACAAAAAGATACTTCTAAATCTAGTTACTCGGTTTGGAGTGTCGAGCAAAACAAACTGCTTCTAACTAGTTATTTTTACTTCGGTAATGATAGTGAATTGGGCAGTGGCCAAAAGGGGGACACTTTTTGGGGTAAAATTGCTGCTTACCTGAATGAGCATTCAACAAGTGGCCCTCATAGGACTCAACAACAATGTAAAAGCCATTACTGCGATCTCAACAAAAAAATCAGTAAATGGATTGGTGTATTCAGAAAAGCATTAGCAGAGGCAAAGTGATTGGTCAGACGACAACTACATAGCAAGAGCTCAAGATTTGTTTGTCGAAGAAACTAAAAAAAGGTTTGCTTTGCTTGATGAATGGAAGTTGGTTCGTAATGAACCAAAATATATGGTTGGATCCGGTGCATCTGCCAATAGTGGAGGTAAAAGAAAAAGTAGTGAAGAAGATGATATCTCATGTTCATCAATTCCTTCTTTTGTACGACCAGAAGGTAGAGACACTACAAAGAAAAAAGCTAAGGGCTTTTTTAATAAATCATCATCTTCCAGAAGATCAAAAGTTGTTATTGAAGAGGAATACTCGAAGATAGAATCTGAACGCCATGAGCTTAAAGAAATGAAAGAACAGCAGTTGAAGATGATGCAAGAGGTTGCAACAGCTCAAAAGGAGGCAGTACGTGCTAAAAAAATGGAAATATGGATGAGCCTAAATTGTCGAAATCAAAGAAATGAATTGGACGAGTATGAGCATGAACTGCTAAACATGCTAAGGATCGAATTATTGGTCAAATGCCATCTTCTTTCACATGTGTCTCTGAAGTGAATAGTAGTATTATTGATATGCTAAATCTTATCTTCTTCACATGTGAGCTCTGAAAAGCTAAGGCATGAACGAATCTTTTCTACTACAATCCAAATATGAATAGTAGAAGTCACATGTGAACTCTGGAAACCAAATATTAGGTATTATAAATACCAGATGGATACTAAGTTCATTAATACTCAACAATCCATTCCCTACTTCAAAAAAAATGGATCCACCACCATACGAGTTTAACTTAGAAGAACTCCAGAAAGAATGGGATTTGGAGGAATCTTTACTCAATCACCAACAACGATTACTTGAAGAGTTACAAGCTTCAAGTAATCGATCTCATAAGAGGACATACATAGAGAGAAACCATGAAGCTGCCCATCAAAGGCTGATGAAAGACTACTTTGTCGAATCTCCCACATACACCGACTACCAATTTCATCGGAGATACCGAATGCAATGACCACTATTTCTACGGATCGTAGATTCACTGTCAAATTATGACACATATTTTACCCAACGTAGAAATGGTGCCGGAAAGCGTGGTTTATCAACAATCCAAAAGTGTACAGCCGCTATACGCATGTAAGCATATGGAGTAGCAGCTGATGCTTGTGACGAATACGTAAAGATTGGAGAAACCACTGCGGTAGAGTGTGTCAGCAAGTTTTGTGAAGGTATTGTAGCCATCTTTGAGAATGACTATTTGAGAAGGCCAAATGAGGCAGACCTCCAACGACTACTAAAAGTAGGCGAAGAACGCGGCTTCCCTGGAATGATTGGAAGTATGGATTGCATGCATTGGCAATGAAAAAATTGTCCTAAGGCTTGGCAAGGTCAATTTACCAGTGGACATAAAGGCACAGCAACAGTAATACTCGAAGCGGTTGCTTCTTATGACTTGTGGATATGACATGCTTTTTTTGGATTGCCAGGTACATTGAATGATATAAATGTGCTTGAAAGGTCACCTGTCTTTGATGACATTGAGGCAGGTGAAGCTCCGCATGTGAACTTCACTGTGAATGGTCATCAATACAATTTAGCGTACTATCTTGCTGACGGAATCTATCCGAAATGGCCTGTCTTTGTCCAAGCACTTCAATATCCTCAAGGCGAAAAGGCAAAATTGTTTGTAAAACAACAAGAATCTTGCAGGAAGGATGAAAATTGTTTGTAAAACAACAAGAATCTTGCAGGAAGGATGTGGAACGTGCATTTGGGGTTCTCCAAGCACGTTTTGCTATAATTCGTCAACCAGCTAGAATGTGGGATTTGAATATCTTGTCAAAAATTATGAGAGCGTGTATTATTTTACACAATATGATAGTGGAGGATGAACGAGATACGTATAGTCGAAACTGGGGAAACGTTGACTTTGAACCATCAAGCATTGCTAGCTCGAGCTCATCATCTGATTACCAAACACAAGTGTTGCCTCAATTTGAAGTTCATGTTCAAGGTAGGTCTGAATTAGATATTCATACTAGATTTGAACTCCGAGATCGAGCCAAACATCTACAATTGAAGGAGGATCTTGTTGAGCACATTTGGCAAAAGTTTGGAGCAACCACAACTTAATTTTCAACTTTCGGTTTTAATTTTATCAATTTTTAGTGTGTTTTGTGTGTTTTTAATAAATTGTACGGTTAATTTATCATCATCAATAAAATCATGTCTTGTTGTGTTTTTAATATTATAATAATATTTGATAAATATCAAAATTAAATGAATATGAATAATTTATATTTTAATATATATGTGTGATAATATTAATTACTATCATATATGAAAAAACGAAATATTATAAATATATATGTGGAGAAATAGAAAAGTGAATTATTTTTTGAATTGTCCCCTGCTGTGGAGTGCATGTGATAATGGGGACAATTGATGATGTAATATGAGAATAATATGATGTGGCAGGGGATAAAGTGAATTTCAATTATCCCCTGCTGGAGTTGGTCTAATGTGTTCTTGATTCACATCTCTTAAGTTAGCATTGGTGATATAGGCTCTCATTTCGACAGGAGCATTTCTGAGACTTTAGATTCCAACACCATATATGAACAGTACTTTTAGACCTTGACCAATATATGAGACGTAACACCATGGTGATCTTTTAGCTACTGCTTTAACAAAAGATATCTTACACATTTTATTCAATTTTTTAGGTCCAAGAAATTCTCAGATGAACTCCAAACTATGTTAGGGATAAGATTTCCATTCTCTCCTAAGACAAGTCCAGATCCTACAGCATCAACTCTCAGTGGAACATAGTATAAAGTTAGACCAATCCGGATGCTAAGTGATGGATTATCCAAGAAAAACACAACTTAACTGTTACTTAATTTCAATAGTTGGACCAATCCAAGACAGAACATTACCGAGTATTCTAAACAGTGATATCAAAGAAATTAAGCAAACTAAAATTATGGCTATTAGTACTATAAGTGGGCTACATGGGGGCAATAACTTAACATATAAACTTATGACGGACAAATGGGAGTTGTGATCTGCAAACAAATGCTATCCAAAACTTAAATAACCAGTACCCCTAACAAATAGTAATTATAGCATCATCCAAATGGCCATTAATCACTTACTGCAAGGATCTGCTAGCATTGATAAATTATAAATCTGAAAAAAAAATAGACTAGCCAGAGCAGGACTTTTTGGCAAGGATAAGCCTAATTGTATCCAAAGAAACCAAGATCTAGCTTTCTCTTTTCCTGTGTTTGATAGATCCTTTTCACCATTCTTTCTAATGGTTAAGACAGTACTACATTTTCCATTCTTGTTTAGATCTTTTTTCCCACACAGAGTCCACTCATCCCATCCCTTTTTGTCTGGGTTGGCTAGACTCTGTTAAAGTATAATGATGAAAACCAAATGACGTAGCCAATTTCTCTCTCCTTATGAGGGTTAAGTCAGTCGACTCATAGATATTCTCTTCACCATACCTGTTCCCCTCCCCTTCTTCTCCCGGGGTTTGAATAATTTGGTTTACTCCCTGTTCTCTCCTGAAGTTTGACCCCATTACACTGAGCATGATCGTCACGAGCTACCCCCACATAACCAAAGTAACACTTATAATTAACTTCAGTAATAAAATTGCCAAATATCTCTATTTGCAGGTTTAGTTCCAACAAAGATCAAGCCTCGGAAACTACACAGAAAAGGATTTTACCTCATTTGAGATCGTACATTAAAAGGAAAAGTTTTCTGCCATAGACGATCATACCTTTGGAGGAAAAGAGTTAGTTGCAGCCGCTTCATCAGCAAACGGGATCTTCAGTAGAGATGCAATCTGAAATCAAGTACAAACTATATAGTTAAAAGAAGTGCATGCCCATTTAAAAAAAAAATCAGTGATTGGCTGAAATAACAGTTTTTCACATACCATGTCATAAGCCCTTTCACGTGCCAACCGTTGAGCAGGAGTTGCTTCACAGTTAAGCGTCTGAAACAAAACCGAAATGACAACAGCAGAAACACAAGCCACAAATCACCAGCATGCACAAATTTCTAACTTCGCCTTACCTGATCTTGAACAGTTCTCTTCGGGCCCTGATTTGATTCCGTAACATGCCGAGCGATGCAATGTGGAACATCAAAAGGTACATTCTGCTGAGCAAACCCTATTCTAACATTTGCAGAACCTTCAGGAAAAGAAACAAAGCCAATCAATAAGTGAGAAGCTAAACATCATCAATTCATGGTCACAGAATTGATGATTTCATAAAATCTTTGCCGCTACTCTATGAGATGTTTAAAATTAACAGCTAAATTCATGCAAAGCGACTAATTTCAGCCAAGTGCCTCATTAAATACTGAACTAAGAAAGTAAAAGCGACTATTGAGATAGAACTAGGGTTAGGGTTTGGAAACCTGGATTAATGACGACTATGTTGGAGCCTCGCTCGGTCATGAGCTGTGAGGGGACGATGGTTTTGAGGTAGTCCTGGGATAAGGAGTTGAAGATGAAAATAAAAGGATTAGGGCTTGAGGATTCAGAACTAAGGGATGAATTGAGGGCGACGAGAGTGGAGGATTACCATCGTGCTGATTGCGAACTGCCGAGAGCAAGCGAGCGCCAAATTTGGGGCTTTATATCTTTTTGTTTCCCGGCTCCGATGAGTGCTGTGCAGAGCCTGGGCAGCGAGCAGAGAAAACAAGTAAAAGGCCCGTAAGGGGGCTTAACGGGTCGGATTGGTTCGGATACTGTCATAAACATCTTTCATATCCGTTCTCTTGATTTTTGGTCCTTACTACACTGTCTCGAATAAGTGTGAATGGAATGCAATTCTAATTTTTCACTCATGTTAATCAAATATTATGTGTTTTGGGATGACAAAAATGTTATTCATATTTTTCATTAATTCACACTTAATGTGATAATTGTTATTTCTAATGAGTTTTTATCAAGGAATTGATATTCACGCCTAAGTAAAAATTAATAATAATAAAATAAATTTTGAATATACCTTTCTTAAAGATGCTCCCACTTAATTTTTAAATCGCATACAAACATGAGAATGAGAACGAACATCCGTTCTCACATCAATTTCGTTCTGTTCCTACATTCATTCTATTCTCATCTAGCTTTATTCCCGCGTACCAAACGAGACGGAAAGGCCGGTGGGCTTACGATGGTCCATAGAAAGGAAAATTTTGTTTGGGAGATAATAAAGATACTAATTTGCTTTCCAAAAAAAGAAAGTTACTAATTTGCAACATTAGATGGATTTTTTTTCTAATATCAGTCTCAATTTTCTAAATTATAATTTTTCCCCTCTAAGAGCGTGCTTGGTTTATTTCTCACAAACAACCGAAAAATGGTTTCCCGAAAAATGGTTTCTAGGAAAGAAACCCAACTTGCACATGGAAGACGAGATTCATTTTTTTTATTTTTAAAATGATTTCTGAATTGTTTTGACGGGATTAGGTTTCTGCTTTTTCCCGTCATTTATACTGTTACTGTCAGCATAATGTCACGGATCCCGCATAACACGCTTTCCTTGTTTCCTTTTAGGCCCTGTTTGTTTGCACGGAAGTAATTGTGAAGTAGCTAAAGTAAAAGAAGTAGAGGCTACTTCTGCTACTTCCAAGCAAAAAAGTGTGTTTGGTTCTCTGAATAACTTACTTCCAATACTTTCCTAAATGCTTATGTGACGCCTACGTGTCATCTTTACTTCCAAAATATTTTTCCAATCCTTAATACTCAGAAGTAGCTCGGAAGTAGTTGAAATACATATTAATTATGACATAAATAATTTTTTTTATTAATATTTCCTTTATTAGTTACTTCTAACAACTTTTCATTGATAAAATTACTTCCTAATAATATTTCTAAATGTTATCTAAACAAAAAAAGTAAATGAAGAGGAAGAAGTTCTACTTCCATTACTTCTAAAAATATATGAAACAAACAAAAAAATTGCTATTTCCACTACTTCCTACTTCATAGCTTAGAAAGTTACTTCTATAACCTACTTTTTTACTTCTAATACTTCTATTATCCAAACGGGCCTATCTAGCCAAACAAAAATGTAAGAAAAAAATGGTATAGCAAATAGGGGTGTGCAACGGTCGGTTTGGTTCGGTTTTTACCAAAATTTGAACAACCGAACCGAACCGTCTATAATTCAAAACCGAACCGAACTGCTGCAAGTCGGTTCGGTACGGTTCAGTTCGGTGCGGTTCGGTTCTAACTTCATCAAACTTTTTATCAAACAACAAACCGTGTTAAAGAAAAAAAAGATATCAACAAAGTAGGAGATTATAAAGCATTAAACATTAATATAATGATATTGTTTTCAACCCATAATGATTTAGAAAATGAGTTTAGGGTTTGAGTCTTTGACTCTTTGGAGACGGGTCGGGTAGGGTTTGAGATCAGAATGGATAGTATTACACTATATTCGGTCGGTTCGGGTCGGTTCGAGTTGAAAAGTTTTCAAATCGACCCTAACCGCCCTACTCATAAAACCGATTTTTTCGGGTCGGTTCGGTCGATTTTTTCGGTTTGGATCGAACCATGCTCAACCCTAATAGCAAACCATTCACCATAACGCTGGTTTCTTTTTCTTTCTCTTATTTTCCTTTTTTTTTTAATAGAAATTTTAATCAAGCGATAAAACTCCCATTATCCCCTTTATTACAACGGGCGGTCCGAACAGCAAGAACCCAAGCCCGAGTACGAAGCAGAAACCCTCAACCGACGAAAACAACAGGATAAGATTCCCCCTCCCTCTCTTCCTCCCTGAAGATCCGCCTCACCCAAATAAATTTAACCATGCTCTTCCTCGCTCCCCGCCCGTCCCCAAACTCCAAGACCCCACCCGCACTCCTGCTGAACGCCACCTCTCCTCCTCCTCCTCCGGCGCCGACGGCAGCCGAACCTCCCCCTCCCCTCCCCTCCTCCCCCTCACCGGCGCCGACCTCTACGCAGCATCCTTCCGCCCCTCACCGCCCGTCCCCCTCCCCCCGCAAGTACCAGTCCCGACACCGCCCGCGCTCGACATCCTCCGCAACCCCTCGCCTCTGCACGACTACGCCGCGCATCTCCTCTCCTCTCCTCTCCCACGACGGCTTAACCACTCCCTCGTCATGGAGGAGGTCACGCCTCTCCGGCGTCGACCAAGCCTGTGTCGCTGCCGGTCCGGATGGGCCCTCCCGTCTTCGCCCGACGCTCCTCCCCCTTGATTCCTCCTCCTGCGCGCGACCTGCTTCTAACGAGCTCCGGCTCCCAACATCTGCCGAGCGGGCCTCCGCCGCTCAGTACCCGTCGAACGTCTGTTTGTGACGACAAAGCGCGCAGTACGAGGCTCGGCGAGGGCCATCAAGGACATCCGCGCCGCCGAGGGACGCAGGGTGGAGCGTTCGCCCGCGGACTTCCCCGCCGATGCTCGCCTACACGTCACTTCGTCTAAGCCGCGAAGACAAATCGCGACGCCCGACAAGCTTGGCGTGCTCCGAAGGCTGGAGATCGCGAGAGGCGGATGCTGCCAGGGCGGAGATTGGCTGGAGATCGAGAAGGTGACCGGGCAGTAGGGAAGAAACCACCGAGCGAACGACGAATTGGCCATCAAAGGACGAGCATGCCGGTTGGTGAGACTGCGGGGAGGCGTGGGAGGTGGCGGAGGCGTCGACGGTGGCCCTGCTGCGCGGTTCAAGGGTCGGAGGGTGGCCGGGGTGAAAGAGGCGCCTGAGGTTCTGAAGATGGGAGGGGGGGTGGGGTGGCGCGGGAAAAAGGGTGGCCCGGTGGATGGTGCGCCGCGGTGGGCCCCGGTGATGGGGCTGGGAGGAGAGGGAGAGGGTGGGCGGTGGAGTCGCGAGCTCGAACGGTACCTGTCGTGGAGGTCAGCTCAGAGGGAGGAGGAGGAAGGGTTGGTGGTGTGGTCGACAGGAAGAGAGGGGGGTCCGAGGGGAGGGGGGGGGTTCTAGCTGGTGGCGAGTGAGGGTGGGTGCGTGTGGGAGTTGAGAGGGGAGCAAGTAGAGGGGAGGGAGTGCCCGAGGTTTTGGGGGCTGTGGTCTTGGTGGTGAGGCCGCCGAAAGATGAGGATGACGTGTTGAGCGAGATCGAGTGGGATTAGCGAGGGATTTTTTGAAGGGGAATTTCGACGGAGGGAAGAATAAAAACGGATTTGCATACTCCTGTTTTTTCCGCATTTTGTATTTGATTTTGAGCAGTATAGGGATCTTTGCTTAATTTTGGTATACTTCCTTGTTTGTAACTTTTCTAAAGCTCGAATATTCTCCGGACGTGATGATAACTTGTAAGTTGCTTGTGCTTCGTTGTTGGTTTACTGCTAGATGGAAGCTAGACCTTTCCAACCTCAACTTCGTTACTTTTTCCGATCCGTTCGTCACCCATATCTTGAACCAGCCTAGACTAATCCCTTACATACAGAACTGAAAAGGCCAGAATAAACCTTTTCGATACTCGTATTTAAGTTAAGGGAAACTACATTTATAATCTTTTGGCGAGCAGCCGAGCTCAAATGAGGATACACTGAAAAGGCAGCAGGACAATTTTAATCGACATCAAAGGTCATCTACAATACCAGGCGTATTGTGCTGCAAACATTTTTATTAGACCCAACAATGCCAGAATAACAACAGAGTTCAAAGCTGTGTGCAAAATTTAGTACTGCGCGGGTAATCCTATTGAACTTCAGATTCCCTGGTAAATTTAAGGGCTCCATAAGAAGTTGCTAAACTATCATGCACGAAGAATAAGCAGCACGTACAAGATGGGAAATAGACTGCTGAGCCGAGCTCAGATATAGCAGTTACAGCACAGGAATTCAATAACTTGTTTCAAGAACAGAATCCTACAGAACTGACCTAGAAATACAAATATGCCGTGTCTATGCTCAACTTCCCAACATATGAAGTATTTGGGAAGCAGTCCTAATCAACCGATAATATCTCTTAAACATGTGCCCCATAGTCCCATACAAAATGAATCGAATACATGTAACAAGAACAAGCACAAACTATCAAGATAGCCATGTAGCATCAAGGGGTACAACACACCCCAACTTGTCTCCTACTTAAACTGTCTTGGACTTCGGAGCCTTTTTCTTGGGTTGTCGCTTTGGGATTGAATTCTTCATCCCAAGATAGAAGAGCAGTGAACCAAAGAGAGCCAAGTTCTAGAAAAGCAGTGCACAAGAAAAAATTGTCACCTGTCATTGTTGAGGTAAAATGGGTAGCTGAAATATTGAAAGCAAAGAACCAAACCTGAGTAAATTTGATGAAAAGTTGAACAAATTCTGGCCTTTCGATATCATAGTTGTAGAAATCATACACGATTGGAGTAATAAATGCTAAGTAGAGCAGCTGCTTGGAGAAAAAAAAAACATAGATTATTTCATCAATATGGAAGATACTAGTCCAACACCATATTAATAGCAAGCCCACATAACATTGCACTCCACATATAAGAGCCTAATCACAACAGTCAGATCGTTTGACAGTCGGTTGTGAAATAGAAAATTATTTGCCTATAAAAAATGGATGGACATCCCCGTTGGCGTTCATGTTTGATTGCCTTTTTTTTGGGTTGGATTTTTTTGTTGTTGTTGTTGTGGGGTGGGGTGGGGTGGGGTGACTCCCAATTTGGGAGGATTCTTCTCTCTAGTTTTGTAGCTCATTTTGTGTTGTTTTTGGAGCTCTTACAACTCCTGTAGCAACTAAAATGCAAAAGGTCTGGGAGAACCTAAGAAAGCCATACCAGGAGGTAAGCTCCGAAGGAGCTGCTGAAAATGAACAGTAGGCCACCAAGTCCTTTCAGCCCCATTGTTGCAGCGATGACATGTCTCATCTGAAAAATAGATCACAGATATTATAACACGTCCTTCAATATTAAATTATTTTAAGCAATATAATAATGAACAAGAAATGATAACAACAAAAATAACATATATATTCCTTACCTCAATATGAGGCGGCACAACTAAGCCCCGGGAAGCTAAATGCTTTACAAAAACATTAAACTTGGGTTTCAGTGCCTTTGCTGCTGGTCCTCCATCAGTACCAAATTCAGAAAACCTGAGAAAACCACCATATATATATCAGCACATTACTATGATTAACTTGAGGATATAGCAAATAAGGGATGAGAAAATAAATTAAAATATTATAAGAGACTCCCAAAATAAAAGTCAAGGAGAGTATACATTTCACTACAAGTCAACATCAAAACCAAATAAACTTATTTTATAGCATCACATTCAAGCCATTATACATAATTAAAAAGGCATGCAACCTCCAAATAAAATTGAGTTATGGGTTGCAGAGCCAAAAAAGGGCATCGCGAAGCATCAATCTGGAACAAATTTTGTAAATTACTTCTAATGGTTAAATGCTAGGATATAGTCAGTTTCTTACTCCATCACAGAACAACAAGAACACATGCAAGAAAGGCAGAATGTGCCATAAGCTGCACAACCTGGGTCCATGCTAGTTAAATAAATGAGACCAGCATAACAAAATGGTGGCCACAACACGCGTTATCTATTACAAGCTAGTTAATTTATTACGTTTGAAATATCAATCCAAGAAAAATTATAGACACCGATGATTGTTCATTACGCGAGCATGACCAAATATCAATTTTGAGAACATGTAAAGGTACATGTACAATCCAGAAAGTTTTGGCACAATATCAAACCTATCCCCTGTTTGAAGCAAACAATGGGTAAATAGTCTCTATTATCTGCTTTGCTGATTTTGTAGACCAGCAAGCATGAAGAGGTGAACAGTTGAGTATCCATTGCTTATTTAACAATTTCAATCCAACAGAATATAATAGCCTGGTAGAAGGAACGGTCTCTTGCACAGTTCTATAATTTTTTTTTTCACTTTGATGAGAAAGAGGAAGCAATATAAGCATGATATAAACGAGAAGATATTTGATACTTCAACTATGAATATTACAATAATTTTAACTTTAAACTGAGAACCTGCACTGACTTATCTTAGCAGTGAAATATTTGAAACTTCCAGAAGCAACCCAAAAACCTTCATCTTTCAAATAATAAAGTTGTAAATCTTTGATTACTATAATTGCTAACATTAGTAAAACTTCTCAGAGGAATATTGTGATGCCCCAAATATCAATTCCACATCAGGAAGCTATGAAAAGTTTGAGGGGTTTAAATAGATAAGCCAAAGGTTCAAGTGTAGGGTCAGCTTGGCAATTCTAGTAATGGATTGAGCCAAACAATGTGTTGCACCCAGTGGGTCACAAGGCTTACACAACGTCAAAGGGCTTGCGGGCCTCGAGACTAATGATACCAGAGCAGTAAATTAGCTTGAAGTCTGGACCTAAGTGCTACGCTAGAGTCTAGACTAAGTGCTACACCGTGTGAGTGCAGTGAGAGCCACCTCTCGAACTCGCAGGAGAGATCTCTAGAGTCCTCATCTCCTGATGGTAGGACTATGATGGACCAATTGTCATGTTGCAATGAGAACGTTGTCTAAGGTGGGTTGATTGTGATGACTCAATATTAGTCCCACATTGGGAAGCTATGAAAAGTTTGAAGTGTTCAGATAGATAAGCCAAAGGTTCAAGTATAGCATTATCTAGACAATTTTGGCCTGGGATTGGGCCCAAACAACAAGTTGCACTTAGTGGGTCTCATGAATTGCACCATGCCAACAGAATTGTGGGCCCATGGTGCGACTAATATGGTCAGCAACAATAGGAAAACTAATTAGTACCATCAAGAACTGCTACCTGATCTGTGTAGTATGATAGGCTGATAGCTCTTGCAAGCAAAGACACTTTTATATGATAACCCTGAACATCCTACATAAAACTACAACCCTGTTTGATATAACAAAAATCCAAGAGGACTAAATCACTTTGCAGATTGAACTAAATCACATAACCACCACATAGGTGTACAGATTTTCAAGGCTCTCCTCTATGACCCTTGTCACCGAATGTGTAAAGAAGTACATGACAGAAAATAGAAATAGGCATGAAGAGCTTGAGCAGTTTAGTTTCCTTGTGAATAGTTTTCTTGCCTGATCACAGCGGAAAATTATAATATAAAAGCCTAAGAAACAAGAAAACAGTTTAAAGAAATTTTAGTAGCTTAAAAATCCGAATTATGGCATTTAAATCAAGCTGTAAATAATTTCCCAATCTGAAGTTTTAAATCAGCTCTTGCTTATCTGATCTGTTGGAACGATATTACCATCTAGTAAACAGAATTCCAGATAATGTATCTTTTACTTGTTGAACCTTAATAACTGACATGACATGCACACACGGGGTCCATACAGAAATAGCTATTCAGAGACCCCGAAGCATTTAGAAGTCACAAAAGAATAGAAAACTTTCTAAAAGAACAATAAGGAAACACTTCTGCAATATCAAGCATAGTTATTATTACATCATTGTTAAGTTTTACCAAGTGTGCATGTAAACTCTAGTTAGCAAAAAGCGCCAAAAGACTAATAAGGGAACCCCCCTACTTGACATTTAACTACATTTGAGGTAAACCACAATAGAGGCTTCAACGCTGTCTGGTGTGCCTAATAAGAGAACTTTACTATAGCCTTAGTGCTCGTGTAGGCTAACTTTGTGGCAACACTTCCTTCTCCTTCCCTATATGATTTCTTCATTGCTTTCCTTTTCGTAGCTATCATTGATAAGCATGGTTTCATCCCTTCACATCCTAGCTACTTATTCCAATTAAGGAACAAGATATGCATTTCTTAACTTTGATATTAAATAATCACAAAGCCAAATTAAGATCTTTAATTAACATACGCTTCGAACATAATGAGATCCATGAGAAGGAGGAAAGTCCTCCAAAAATCTAGTAACGCTACCAAATTCCCAAAAATAACAACATGTACAAAAATTACAGCAACTCAAACTTAACATAAGCAACAACTCATCATTATACAGCAGAATCACGCTAGATCTGAGCACTAACAGCTGGATCCGTGCAAAACTACAGCAGAAACCACATAGAACCCTAGCTACTGAATTGAACGGTACTAGTACATCTACAAGCTACCTAATCCATGTAGCTATCACCAAAATCATAGCCAAAACAATAAATATCAGCACAAGTCCAAAACCCTAAATGGTCAAAAGACTAGATCTGAAGCAAAGATCAAAAGGTTGAAGAGAGCTTACTCTTGGTAAGCAGATAGAAGAAAGACCGAGGCGAAGAGAACCCTCCCAGCGAACGAAACGAACCCCATTAAAAACCCAAGCTTTGATCTCGGGAGCTCGAGATTTTTATGGGAGAGATCTCACCGGCGATTGGAAAAAGGCCGCTCGGATCCAATTTAAAGCACGCGACAAGCCATTGGGCCGAGAAACGAGGGCCTGCTCGAATTCGCGCCCGCTTGCCCCTGGATCCTCGCAGAAATTTCCGGTGTGCCATTGGGAGGGGAAGGATTTTTCTGACCGTTGGATGATTGGGATGACGTGTATTTAACGGTGCAGATTTGATTTGAGGGAGGGTGTCGACTGGGGGCAGTATGGGGAGGAAAAGATGTCTGTAGCTTCTACCATCCAACTGTATATTTAAAGTGGTCGGCTTTGAATTTGCGCTGGAGAGGGATGACCTAATTATTTGAACCTAGATTCGTAGCTAAACTAGATGCGAGAGAGTTCGTATGCAAATATATATATGAGAATACTGTGGGTACGCTGGCAGCTCACGTTTTTGGTGCGCTGCAGGGAGTTTTTTGAAAAATTTCCGCCACAAAAGCAATCTCGTGACCAAAAATTCTGCAGCCCCAAATTCCTCTCTCCAGATCTCAAACCTCTTTCTCTCCAAATCCCTCTCCCCCCTCGAGCGATTAACCCATGAAACCGCCTTCAATCCCACGAGCGATTAACCCTCAATCCCACAAGCGATTAACCCACAAATATATACTACTTATATACTACCTTAACTATACGTATACTATTAATTACTACTAAGTAAGCTATATACTGACCTACTACCATCATAAGATAATATATATATATATACTATATATACTATAAACACTAGTAGTATCAATATATATATAACTATACTATTATAATCCTTATATACTTACTATATATATATATATATATCCTATATATAGAATTAATGTATCCTTGTCACTAAGAGGTGGATTTACTCCCTATGACCGCCTCTAAATCACATGTTGAGGACCATTATGGGAATGATCCGCTCGTTGAACTCCGTGATCTACATAACGTTCCTACAACACCCCAACACAGCCAAGTTCTTGGGTGAACCGTCGTCTTTGACCCTTCAGTCCACTCGTATCACATTTTAACGGTTTTGGAAGTGAAGTGAACTTTTCACATGGCTCGATGAGGCGGAATCAAACGACGACGGCGCTTCACCCCAAATCTCTGGCTGTGTTTGGGGTTCTTAGAATATGTAACAAGTTCAAGCGGAGCGGATCATCCACTATGTGTCATCATTGTGATTTTAGAGGCGTCCATAAGGATGGAATCCCTCTATTGACAAGGATACCCAATTAATCTATATATAATAACTATAATTAGTGATATATACGTGAGGTATATACGCTATAGTACGCTATACTAGCTAACTACTATAACCCGTACACCGCCCTTATATTCCATATATGGACGTAGTCCAGTATATAATATATGATCATCATATACTGATATATATATATACCTATGCTACCTATATACCGATATATACATACTATATAATATACTATATATATATGACTAGGTCATTAGTACTACTAGCGGTAGCTGCAGAATGACTGTGGGTACGGCTGGCAGCTCACTTTTTTGGTGCGCTGGCAGGGAGTTTTTTTGAAAGAATTTCCGCCACCAAAAGAAGTCTCGTGACCAAGAAACGTTCTGCAGCCCAATTTCCTCTCTCCACAGATCCTCAAACCTCTTTTCTCTCCCAATTCCCTCGTACCCCCCTCGAGCGATTTAACATGAAACGCCTTCAATCCACGACGATTAACCGCTCAAGCCCACAACGATTAACCCAGCCAAGTATCTGCCGCCGTTCAAATCCCTCCTCCCCCCCTTCGAGGGTTTCACCTATACAAAGACCCCATGCGACTCACGAGAATCTGTGGGCCTTCAAGCCCTCTCCTCCCTTCGAGCGATTCGACCACGAGATCCGTCGCGACCACGAAACCGCCATGACCACGAGATCTGGAAAGCTCCTTCGACCACGCAACCGCCGCGACCACGAGATCTGGACAGCTCCTTCGACCATGAGATTTGGACAGCTCCTCCCGACTCCTCCGACGCGAGCACCGACCTCTCTGTTTGAATTTGTTCTCAGGTAAAATCCCCATCCAGGTTCTTTGATTGCCTATTTTTGCTAATTTAGATTTTTTTTATTGACCTCCAAAATGATCATATAACAGTCATAGGTATGAAAAAGTTTGGATTTGTGGGTCTTGCTTAGTTTGTGAACTTATTAATGTGTTACCAAATGAAAATTTTAAAAAAAATGTGTCGTGATCTCGCTGACTCCCCTTATGAATCTATTCCTAAAGTTCAATAATCGATTAAAAAGAAAACAATTTGAAGCTAGCTAGCTACAGTTAACCGATTGTAGTCTCTGATCTGTAAATTAATATTAATTATTGCTGTCAACTCACAATCTAACTAGTTTGAAGTAGCATCAACTTTTAGCAGATAAACAGTTCTTAATCAAATTTAAAATTTGTTAATGGTTCTCTCAATTAATTGGTCGGACACAAAATTAATGAGGGGCATCTTTGAAAAAAATGTACAAAATTGGAACAAAGTGAAAAGTGTAGAAACAGAGTTTATTTACAAGCTTTGATGGATGTGTTGGTTTGTGAAACTTGATAGCACAAAGTCATATCTCATGATTAATTTGTCATATAATTTGCAGGTAAACATATGCACGGGTGGTGGATGTGTTGGTTTGTTCACAAAGTCATATCTCATGATTAATGTACGTATGATTGCTTGCATTTTTGTGTATCAATCTTTAACAGCGCTTTATTTACTCTGTTTTTAACTTTTAACAAACGATTTATTTGATTGTGCATGTGTTTCTCTTACAGCGCTACCACTAACACAGGAAAGATCACAATCAGCTCAGGTTCATCCACAACTCTGCCTTGGCCCCTCAAGTAATCCATGAGCAGAACTGATTCAAGTGATACGCATTTTGTACAAGACCTCTCATCACTGTCTCGTAGCTGCTGATTGTGTCTTGTAGCTGCTAATGTATTACTATATTTTATGTATTAAGACTGATTGTGTTAAGACTGATTCTGTTTTGTTGATGGGTAACAGTACGTATGATTGCTTGCATTTTGTTGCGCCGTTTAAGCATTTTGTTGATGGGTAAAAGATGCAAATAATTTTGGACGTTTAAGCATTTTGTTGATGGGTAAAAGGTGCAAATAATGTTGAACTATTATGATTGTTTGCATGCGTGCTGTTTATATTTCTCAATGGACAAAGAAAAAGAATCGCATCCGATGGTTGTAGCTCATACAGATAAACTCTAAATATTACAACTAGCCTGCAGGTCAATCATGGAGACACCTCGAAGATTGGTTACAACTTTTCCGTTCAAATGCACATATTGCTGAGGCAGTCACAGTTTGCTTTTGGTGATGAGAGGTCATCTAGACCTCCAGCAAAGCTTCAACGCCCCAGCAAGTAAATGATGAAATCAATTAGTTTCACAGTATCATCGCCTCCAATATCAGCTTGATGGGCATTATGACAACACCCTAGCAACCTCTTCATGCTAGTGGCAATCTCCATAGGCGCATAGGAGGTGCTATCAAGAAAGAAATGCAATGGCCAGCCAGCCTCTCAAAGGCAAACATCTTATCAGAACAGAGACAAAGTTGGCGCGCACATCATACAGAACAAGACACATTCAGAAATTCCATAATATCATTACCCAGCTTCATTGTCTTCAGGCAAGTAATTTCACTATCTTGAGAGTAGACACGCATAGAAAATATAAAAGAGAAATTTCAAAGATGATCAACAACTACAGGATTCAGATAATGTAAAAGTTGCATGCAACAGACCAGTCTCATAACAAAATCTGAAGAACATAGCAAAAAAGAACAAAAGTCCATATGCTGCTCTATGCTTTGATGGCATATTTCCTCTTCGGGAAGATACATAAGTTCTCACAATCACACCAGATACATAAGTTCTCACAATCACATAAGTTCTCACAATATACTTAAGTTCTCATAATCTCACAATCACATAAGTTACTCGATACATAAGTTCTCACAATCACATCCTTTTTGCAATATAGAAAAAAATAAATACGAAAACGATACATATTACAAACACTAATATTGTAAACACTGAACCTAATGTAAAAGCATAGATAGGGGAAATAGTAGTTCTTGAGCTCGATGCAGAATCAGGTGTCGAGACATAAAAAGGTGTTTGGACATGCCTTGAGTTGGATGCTGAATCACAAGCGATGTTGTGTTTATCCCATTCAACCAAAGCCTCTTCGTACGTTGCATACCCTTTATATGTGGCATTTGGGTATTTATCAACTTGCTTTTTACAGTCCTCCCAATTATTAAAAATTCTACATCGTCGACCTCTTTTCACTATGTAAAAACTCTTTCTTGCCATGGACCACCTAAAAAATTGTGGTTTAAAAAGAAATCACAGTAAAAAACGATGTGGAATTTCTCCCAATTTAACCCTGTGATATTTATCAACTTGCTTTTTACAGTAAAAAACGATGTGGTATTTATCAACTTGCTTTTTACAGTCCTCCCAATTATTAAAAATTCCACATCGTCGACCTCTTTTCACAATGTAAAAACTCTTTCTTGCCATGGACCACCTAAAAAATTGTGGTTTAAAAAGAAATCACAGTAAAAAACGATGTGGAAGTTCTCCCAATTTAACCCTGTGATTTCTTTTTAAACCACAATTTTTTAGGTGGTCCATGGCAAGAAAGAGTTTTTACATTGTGAAAAGAGGTCGACGATGTGGAATTTTTAATAATTGGGAGGACTGTAAAAAGCAAGTTGATAAATACCCAAATGCCGCATATAAAGGGTATGCAACGTACGAAGAGGCTTTGGTTGAATATGTGATTGTGAGATTATGAGAACTTAAGTATATTGTGAGAACTTATGTGATTGTGAGAACTTATGTATCTGGTGTGATTGTGAGAACTTATGTATCTTCCCGAAGAGGAAATATGCCATCAAAGCATAGAGCAGCATATGGACTTTTGTTCTTTTTTGCTATGTTCTTCAGATTTTGTTATGAGACTGGTCTGTT